GAGTGTTAGGTCTGTGGTTCGATCCCCAGCTGTGGCACACTAAAAGATGGTAATTGTTGTTACCCTGCCTGGTGCCAGCATTAAGGGGCAAAAACATGGACTGGTCGGCTTGAGTCAGTATACTGTGTCGGAGTGGTGTATTCATGTTAAACTGCGGCATGGTATCTCAGTGGTCCAGCACTATAAAACCAGCATTAGTCCGACTCATACTAGCAGCCACACACACACATATCTTTACATAAGTGAAATAATAATTCCACCTCACATCAGCACCAATATCATGATTGGCCTCTCATAATGTCGCCATTTTAGGAATAAACCTGTGTAACATGAATCACCATGGTCCCGGGGAGTTACGTAAAGATGTTCCAGGCAAGAAAATGAAGGGTGACCAGAGTATCAACAGAAAATAAAGTAAAGTTTGTTTGCTGTTTACACTGCACTCAGCAATATATACCAGCTATATGATGGCAGTCTGTAAATAATCGAGTCTAGACCAGATAATCCAGTGATTGACATGAGCATCAATCCACGTAATTGGGATACGATGACATGCATCAACCAAGTCAGCGAGTCTGACCACCTGTTCCCGTTAGTCGCCTCTTACAACAAGCATAGACGCCATTTACGGCAAGTATGGGTTGCTGAAGACCTATTCTACCCCGGATCTTCACAAAGTAAAGATTTCCTTCATGACAGAGTGATCAAAATCAGACACAGGCAGTCCAAACTTATTTTTTCTTAACAGAATAATACATCAGTTTATAAATCTAACATGCATGCTTCCCAGTTTGAATGGGTATGCAGTTACTTTTGCGGTTTAACCCTGAAAATAGAACACAGACAGTACTCAAATAAAATATGATTTATGACGTGATGGTTGCACATGTAAACAGAAAGGACACGGTACTGTAACAGGGGATTATCAAGTTCAGGGAAACAACTTGAGAAAGAAGTGTTGCCACCTTTTTTGTGCATAATGCACACCCCCCATTTTGAGGTAAAAGTTTTGAGAAAATTACTTACCGTATTCGACATAATAAGCGCCCCGCTCTAATAAGTGCCCACGGCGATATTTGCTAATATATTGGCTAGTGAACAATACCAATTAGCACCCCTTCCGATTGATCAATGTACACAAGACTTATTTATTCGCGTATAATACGTATTCGTGTGTTATATGCACCCTTAATTATGGGGATTGAAATTTTGGAAAAATGTATCTCTCGTATATAAACTTTTCAGGCTGTCAGCATAAACCACGAAATTTATCTTTCAACTCTGTTTTTTTTCACTAAAATAATATTCTAATAAGAGCCCCCTATTTCTAATTTTGAGAGCGCCCCTGGCGCTTATTACATCGAATACGGTATTTATATCTACATAGTGTGCAGTCCAAAATTTACATCATGTCACTTCAGGTGGACGAACAGGAGATAACAAACTTGGTCAATTAAAATGTGAAATTTGCAATACAACATCAATCGACATGAAGATTTACAGTTTCATTTGTATTTATATTTGTGCTATGCATTGTCTTATATGCAGATTAAGATAACTAAAACTCATTGTGTGCATGTATTATGTGCACACGTATCTACAGCTGTAGTTGTATAATAAAGTGTGCACTATGCACAAGAAGGTATGGTACTCAAATATTGCACCAAGTATTTCAGCATTGAGCATCCCTTTTATCGGGACAGACCTCTTATGAAAGACGACTTGGTAACTGATATTTGCTGTTAGTAGACAGATTCCGGTGAGGGTACCGAGAATGTTGTTGTCAGCTGTCAGGCTCCAGTGAGGGTACCGAGAATGTTATTGTCAGCTGTCTGGCTCAAGCGGGTATCAAGAATGTTGTTGTCAGCTGTCGGGCTCCAGTGAGGGTACCGAGAATGTTGTTGTCAGCTGTCTGGCTCCAGTGAGGGTACCGAGAATGTTGTTGTCAGCTGTCGGGCTCCAGTGAGGGTACCGAGAATGTTATTGTCAGCTGTCTGGCTCCAGTGAAGGTACCGAGAGTGTTGTTATCAGCTGTCTGGCTCCAGTTAGGGTACCGAGAATGTTGTCAGCTGTCTGGCTCCAGTGAGGGTACCAAGAATGTTGTTAGCTGTTGGGCTCCAGTGAGGGTACCGAGGATGTTGTCAGCTGTCTGGTTCCAGTGAGGGTACCGAGAATGTTGTTGTCAGCTGTCTGGCTCCAGTGAGGGTACCAAGAATGTTGTCTGCTGTCGGGCTCCAGTGAGGGTACCGGGAATGTTGTCAGCTGTCGGGCTCCAGTGAGGGTACCAGGAATGTTGTCAGCTGTCTGGCTCCAGTGAGGGTACCAGGAATGTTGTCAGCTGTCGGGCTCCAGTGAGGGTACCGAGAATGTTGTTGTCAGCTGTCGGGCTCCAGGGAGGGTACCGAGAATGTTATTGTCAGCTGTCTGGCTCCAGTGAGGGTACTGAGAATGTTGTCAGCTGTCCGGCTCCAGTGAGGGTACCGAGAATGTTGTCAGCTGTCTGGCTCCAGTGAAGGTACCAAGAATGTTGTTAGCTGTTGGGCTCCAGTGAGGGTACCGTGGATGTTGTCAGATGTCTGGTTCCAGTGAGGGTACCGAGAATGTTGTTGTCAGCTGTCTGGTTCCAGTGAGCGTAACGAGAATGTTATTGTCAGCTGTCTGGTTCCAGTGAGGGTACCGAGAATGTTATTGTCAGCTGTCTGGCTCCAGTGAGGGTACCGAGAATGTTATTGTCAGCTGTCTGGCTCAAGCGGGTATCAAGAATGTTGTTGTCAGCTGTCGGGCTCCAGTGAGGGTACCGAGAATGTTGTTGTCAGCTGTCTGGCTCCAGTGAGGGTACCGAGAATGTTGTTGTCAGCTGTCGGGCTCCAGTGAGGGTACCGAGAATGTTGTCAGCTGTCTGGCTCCAGTGAGGGTACCGAGAATGTTGTTGTCAGCTGTCTGGCTCCAGTGAGGGTACCGAGAATGTTGTCAGCTGTCGGGCTCCAGTGACGGTACCGAGAATGTTGTCAGCTGTCTGGCTCCAGTTAGGGTACCGAGAATGTTGTCAGCTGTCTGGCTCCAGTGAGGGTACCAAGAATGTTGTTAGCTGTTGGGCTCCAGTGAGGGTACCGAGGATGTTGTCAGCTGTCTGGTTCCAGTGAGGGTACCGAGAATGTTGTTGTCAGCTGTCTGGCTCCAGTGAGGGTACCAAGAATGTTGTCTGCTGTCGGGCTCCAGTGAGGGTACCGGGAATGTTGTCAGCTGTCGGGCTCCAGTGAGGGTACCAGGAATGTTGTCAGCTGTCTGGCTCCAGTGAGGGTACCAGGAATGTTGTCAGCTGTCGGGCTCCAGTGAGGGTACCGAGAATGTTGTTGTCAGCTGTCGGGCTCCAGGGAGGGTACCGAGAATGTTATTGTCAGCTGTCTGGCTCCAGTGAGGGTACTGAGAATGTTGTCAGCTGTCCGGCTCCAGTGAGGGTACCGAGAATGTTGTCAGCTGTCTGGCTCCAGTGAAGGTACCAAGAATGTTGTTAGCTGTTGGGCTCCAGTGAGGGTACCGTGGATGTTGTCAGATGTCTGGTTCCAGTGAGGGTACCGAGAATGTTGTTGTCAGCTGTCTGGTTCCAGTGAGCGTAACGAGAATGTTATTGTCAGCTGTCTGGTTCCAGTGAGGGTACCGAGAATGTTATTGTCAGCTGTCTGGCTCCAGTGAGGGTACCGAGAATGTTATTGTCAGCTGTCTGGCTCAAGCGGGTATCAAGAATGTTGTTGTCAGCTGTCGGGCTCCAGTGAGGGTACCGAGAATGTTGTTGTCAGCTGTCGGGCTCCAGTGAGGGTACCGAGAATGTTGTTGTCAGCTGTCGGGCTCCAGTGAGGGTACCGAGAATGTTGTCAGCTGTCTGGCTCCAGTGAGGGTACCGAGAATGTTGTTGTCAGCTGTCTGGCTCCAGTGAGGGTACCGAGAATGTTGTCAGCTGTCGGGCTCCAGTGACGGTACCGAGAATGTTGTCAGCTGTCTGGCTCCAGTGACGGTACCGAGAATGTTGTCAGCTGTCGGGCTCCAGTGACGGTACCGAGAATGTTGTCAGCTGTCGGGCTCCAGTGACGGTACCGAGAATGTTGTCAGCTGTCTGGCTCCAGTGAGGGTACCGAGAATGTTGTCAGCTGTCTGGCTCCAGTGAGGGTACCAAGAATGTTGTTAGCTGTTGGGCTCCAGTGAGGGTACCGTGGATGTTGTCAGATGTCTGATTCCAGTGAGGGTACCGAGAATGTTGTTGTCAGCTGTCTGGCTCCAGTGAAGGTACCAAGAATGTTGTCAGCTGTCTGGCTCCAGTGACGGTACCGGGAATGTTGTCAGCTGTCTGGCTCCAGTGAGGGTACAGGGAATGTTGTCAGCTGTCAGGCTCCAGTGAGGGTACCGAGAATGTTGTTGTCAGCTGTCTGGCTCCAGTGAGGGTACCAAGAATGTTGTCAGCTGTCGGGCTCCAGTGACGGTACCGAGAATGTTGTCAGCTGTCTGACTCCAGTGAGGGTACCGAGAATGTTACTGTCAGCTGTCTGGCTCCAGTGAGGGTACCGAGAATGTTGTTGTCAGCTGTCGGGCTCCAGTGAGGGTACCGAGAGTGTTGTTGTCAGCTGTCGGGCTCCAGTGAGGGTACCGAGAATGTTGTTGTCAGCTGTCTGGCTCCAGTGAGGGTACCGAGAATGTTGTTGTCAGCTGTCTGGCTTCAGTGACTGTACCGAGAATGTTGTTGTCAGCTGTCTGGCTCCAGTGAGGGTACCGAGAGTGTTGTTGTCAGCTGTCTGGCTCCAGTGAGGGTACCGAGAATGTTGTTGTCAGCTGTCGGGCTCCAGTGAGGGTACCGAGAGTGTTGTTGTCAGCTGTCGGGCTCCAGTGAGGGAACCAAAAATGTTGTCAGCTGTCTGGCTCCAGTGAGGGTACCGAGAATGTTGTTGTCAGCTGTCTGGCTCCAGTGAGGGTACCGAGAATGTTGTCAGCTGTCAGGCTCTCGTGACGGTACCGAGAATGTTGTCAGCTGTCTGACTCCAGTGAGGGTACCGAGAATGTTACTGTCAGCTGTCTGGCTCCAGTGAGGGTACCGAGAATGTTGTTGTCAGCTGTCTGGCTCCAGTGAGGGTACCGAGAGTGTTGTTGTCAGCTGTCTGGCTCCAGTGAGGGTACCGAGAATGTTGTTGTCAGCTGTCGGGCTCCAGTGAGGGTACCGAGAGTGTTGTTGTCAGCTGTCGGGCTCCAGTGAGGGAACCAAAAATGTTGTCAGCTGTCTGGCTCCAGTGAGGGTACCGAGAATGTTGTTGTCAGCTGTCTGGCTCCAGTGAGGGTACCGAGAATGTTGTCAGCTGTCAGGCTCCAGTGAGGGTACCGAGAATGTTGTCAGCTGTCTGGCTCCAGTGAGGGTACCGAGAATGTTGTCAGCTGTCGGGCTCAAGTGAGGGTACCAGGAATATGTCAGCTGTCTGGCTCAAGTGAGGGTACCGGGAATGTTGTCAGCTGTCTGGCTCCAGTGAGGGTACAGGGAATGTTGTCAGCTGTCTGGCTCCAGTGAGGGTACCAGGAATGTTGTCAGCTGTCTGGCACCAGTGAGGGTATTGTGAACGATGTTGATACTGGCGTCACCTGCAACAAAGACACGAAACTAAACACTTACATCCTATTTTAACAAAACAATCTAATTTTCCTTAATTTTCTTTAAAGGATAATAATAGACAGCATTGGTGGCCAGCATTAGCTGGAATACTGCAGACAACATTAAGCAACCTACAAGGTTCTGTACAGTGAATGGATTGTTAGGCAGAGGGGGCACGTGTGTGTGTGTGTGGGGGGGGGGGGGCACAGTCATCTGAGGCACCAAAGTTTTTTGTGCAGAGGTGCTTCCCATAATGATGCCAGAATCCACTGACTGTTTGGTTCAGATTTCAACTTCATATTAATTATGAGCACTGTCATTTGTCGACCCGTGAAGATCCGGGGTAGAATAGGTCTTCAGCAACCAATGCTTGCCATAAAAGGTGACTATGCTTGTCATAAGAGGCGACTAATGGGATCAGGTGGTCATGATGTCAATCACTGGATTGTCTGGTCCAGAATCGATTTTTGACACACAAACGTCATATAGCTGGAATATTGTTGAGCGCGGCGTTAAACAACAAACCAACCAAAGTCATTTGTCAGCACCATACCCATGCTCATGTGAGGTGAGGTGAAATTGGGTTTAACGTCGCGTCCAAGATTATTGCACTTATATATAGCGACGTGCATGTAAGTGTGTGCGTTTGTGTGGCTGCTTGTACTAGTCTGGACTGATACCGATTTAAAGTGCTAGCCCACTGAGATACCATGCCGCAGTTTAACATGAATACCCCACTCAGACACAGTTTACTGACTCCGAGCCAACCAGTCCTTGTTTTAGCCCCTTAATGCCGAGCGCCAGACAGGGTAACAACAAGTACCATCTTTTAAAGTCTTTAGGTATGACGCGGTCGGAGATCGAACACCCATGCTCATGTACTTCACCAAAGATGTGTCCGCAACTTGCAACACTTTCTTCCTGATATATCAAGGAGAAATGTAGTGATGTTACTGGCCTCAACCCAACTCACTCACTGTTAGTGCACAGAGCGTTACAACAATGTGGTACTGTGATTGCCTTAAGTTCAGTGAGCACGTACCAGGCGCGAGCTCTTGACCACTACAGCTCTCCGGTGCTGGGAGCGTCCAGTCTTCTCGATGACCAGTCGTGTGTGTGGGATGTGAGACCAGGTCCGACCCAGACTGGCCACACGCTGACCATCTGCACCAAACACCACATTGTTGCTGATCTGAAACAAAGATACATAGGAAGGATGTGGTATTTTAAATTTGCTTTTGTATTTTAATCTCAATAGTGAAGATGTCTGCACCTTATTATGTTAACATGACACCATTCCAAAACGGCATGAACAGAGCTTACTAATGAAAGTGACCACATGCTTGTGGAGGTGCATAAAATGAGAAATCAGCTGGTTGATATGTTGGTTGTGGTCGATATTAATATGTGGGCCATGGTCAAATTCATTGTTCTGTCTGTCAAGTACAGGCTGATGTGATGTGATAGCTGGAATATTGCTAATGTGACACATGGTACAAGACGACTTACCAGGACAGCAATAGAGAACTCCACCGCCAGCATCTTGAGTGTGTGTCCAAGCTGAACCATCAGACCATGACCTGTTAACATTCACATGATGATCAACAGGAACACAGGTACACTGGAACACGGACACTGGGACACAGGAACATGGGGACACAGGAACAGGAACAGAGGGACACAGGAGCAGAGGAACACAGGAACACAGGAACACGGACACTGGGACACAGGAACATGGGGACACAGGAACAGGAACAGAGGGACACAGGAACAGAGGAACTCGGACACAGGAACACGGGGACAGAGGAACACGGACACTGGGACACAGGAACACGGGGACACAGGAACAGGAACAGAGGGACACAGGGACACAGGGACACAGGAACACAGGGTGTAGCACAGTTCCACAAATCAAACAGGCTTGCACGTAGGTAAAAACAACACAGACATGCACAATGGTAAAACCTTATGGACTCGCACAATGGTGAATCCAAACAGACTCGCACAATGGTGAATCCAAACAGACACACACAATGGTAAAACCACACAGACTCGCACAATGGTAAAACCACGAGGACTCACACAATGGTAAAACTACAAGGACTCACACAATGGTAAAACTACAAGGACTCACACAATGGTAAAACTACAAGGACTCACACAATGGTAAAACTACAAGGACTCACACAATGGTAAAACTACAAGGACTCACACAATGGTCAAACTACAAGGACTAACACAATGGTCAAACTACAAGGACTCACACAATGGTAAAACTACAAGGACTCACACAATGGTAAAACTACAAGGACTCACACAATGGTAAAACTACAAGGACTCACACAATGGTAAAACTACAAGGACTAACACAATGGTAAAACTACAAGGACTCACACAATGGTAAAACTACAAGGACTCACACAATGGTAAAACTACAAGGACTAACACAATGGTAAAACTACAAGGACTCACACAATGGTAAAACTACAAGGACTCACACAATGGTAAAATCACATGAACTCACACAATGGTAAAACTACATGGGCTCACACAATGGTAAAACCACAAGGACTCACACAATGGTAAAATCACATGAACTCACACAATGGTAAAATCACATGAACTCACACAATGGAAACATCACATGAACTCACACAATGGTAAAACTACACAGACTCACACACTGGTAAAATCACATGAACTCACACATTAGTATAATCTCATGAACTCACACATTAGTAAAATCTCATGAACTCACACAATGGTAAAACCACAAGGACTCACACAATGGTCAAATCACATGAACTCACACAATGGTAAAACCACACAGACTGCTCACAGGAAATGAAACCAATATTTGACTTCAAGATTAAACAAAACCGGTATACGTTGACAAATATATATTTGTGTTTAAGACTGAGCACCAAATTTCATAAAATTATCCCCAAAAATATTCATGATCTCTAACTTGTTTTGCTCAGTATATAGTGGTGATACTGACCATCCATCTGCTGGCCTCCCAGCACTGGGTAGATGACCGACGTCACACTGTCCACAACCAACAGCTTCAGACCACGGTAGAAACTGTCTGTCTGGAAGTAAATCATCACTTAGCTACAGCTAGTTTCTTTCTTTGTTGTTTAACGTCGCACTCAGCAATATTCCATCGGTCTGTAAGTATCGAGTCTGGACCAGACCATCCAGTGATTGACATCATGAGCATCAATCGACACTATTGTGATACAATGACATGCATCAACTAAGTCAGCGAGCCTGACCACCTGATCCCGTTATTCGCCTCTTCCGACAAGCATAGGCTGCTGCAGACAAATTCTAACCCAGATTGTCACAGGTGTTACTGTTAATCTGGAAAGTTTTGCGTCAATAAATTATTGCGCGTGGGTAACAATATCCTTAACTGCGTGTGGAAAGTTTTGTGACACCATGGCGATGAGATTACAAAAAATGAAAGATGCTTTTGCACATGTTATGTTTTATGAGTTGGAAGCAGCTCTAAAAGATAGCTGAGTGTCAGTCAGTGTTTATTTAACTGCAGATAGATGTGTTGTTGTCGTTGTTGTTGTTGACAAAGAAGGTTGGAGTAACGTGTTTATCTAACAGCAGTTTTATAAGACTGACTAGAATACTCAGTATTATGTAAGGAAATTTAGGTGAGGTGAGGTGAAATTGGGTTTAACGTTGCGTCCAAGATTATTGCACTTATATAGCGACGTGCATGCACGTGAATGTGTGTGTGTGGCTGCTTGTACTAGTCCGGACTGATGCCGTTTTATAGTGCTAGCCCACTGAAATACCATGCCGCAGTTTAACATGAATACCCCACTCAGACACAGTATACTGACTCCGAGCCGACCAGTCCTTGTTTTAGCCCCTTAATGCCGAGCGCCAGACAGGGTAACAACAAGTACCATCTTTTAACGTCTTTTGGTATGACCCGGCCGGGGGTCGAATCCCGGACCTTCCGCTCTCCAGGGGTGGACGCTCTACCACTAGACCACGGAGGTGGTCGTAAGGAAATTTACAAGGTGTGGCAGGAAAGTGAATTTTCCTGATTAGACTATTGAGACAGCGTGACAATAGGTTATAGAGAACAGGATGTGCAGGGCTATTTATTTAATCTTGTTCTGACAGGTTTGATAATGTGTGGAAGCGGATAAACAAACTATGTATCCTCACCTCTTTGTTCTTCGTTGTCCGCAAAAATAACTGTGTCATGAAACTGTTACGAGTGTGTGTCGCTCGCAGTTTTGGCAGTACTTTCCTGCCCGCAAACATTGCCAGATTTACAGTATATAACAACGTTCGACCCAGTGTTTGATCACTTGTTTTGTACAGATACTGGTGCAAATGAACTGAAGCGTTGAAAGAACAAAGAAGTTGACAACAGTGAGTGAGTATGGTTTTACGCCGCTTTTAGCAATATTTCAGCAATATCACATTGTACCCATGTCAGGAATCGAACCCGGGTCTTTGGCGTGACTAGCAAACGCTTTTACCACTAGGCTACCAGAACGCCCCAGTTGACATAAAAAAGTTAACACCTGTCTTCATCGATGCTACAGCTTCGAAATGCAAATTCAATATAACGGAATTTTTCAGGCTGAACAAAATAAGTCTTGGTTCTCGGAAACTGCCCGCATCTTCATAAAGTCTAACGCACGTTTCGTTTTTATTTCCATTTTTAATTTTTTTTATAAAAAATCCTAATATTTAAATAAAATGTGATCATATGTAGCACACAGTTACTTCCCTTTACATGCACACTGCTTTACTGTACATCTCGTGTTATGGTCATGGCGACAATAGGAGTTTGTATGCTTGTTTATGAAGAGAGGCCCTTTCCCAGGTTAATCGTACACAACTGTTTATTTAGTACATACTAGCCTAAACAAACAAGCCAAAAAAAGGCGGAAAAAAACACCGGCCGCCTGCACTATATTTTCGAAAGTCATTGCCTGATAACCAATTCTTTAACTTTTTAAGCCTTATTATGGATCAACTGAAACCCTTTCATTCCTTTAAAATTTTTCACTCACAATATTATCCCCATGGTGATTGATAACAGTATAAATCAGATTATACGGACTCTTCCACTGAATGTGAGACGGACAGAATACCTGCTTAACACGGGCGGTCGGGTAGCCTAGTGGTTAAAGCGTTAGCTTGTCACGCCAAAGATCTGGGTTCGATTCCTGACATGGGTACAATGTGTGAAGCGCATTTCTGGTGTCCCCCGCCGTGATATTGCTTGAATATTGCTAAAAGCTGCATAAAACCATACTCACTCACTCACCTGTTTAACAAGCTGGACTCGAATGTTCTCTAGTACAGCAAACAAGGTAAATATGTCATGAGGCTGGAAGCAGCGAATTCGGGACATCACTTCTTCAGGATTCTGCAAAGACAAAGATAAAAAAATGAAAGAAGACAGTAATCCATTCCACAAATCTTAGCGATCAAGATTTCACAAATGTGTACATGCAGTGAAACCCCTCTTATCCAGACCTCGGATACCCGGAAACCTCACTACCAGACGATATTTACGCAAACAGATATAAATACTACATAAAATGCTTTATTTCTGGAAATCCAGTCTCCAGATCCAGACAGTGCAAAATACACACAGATGTGTGTGTAACTATGCCGACAGTACAACTGTACAGGGAGGGTGTGAGTCCTACCTTGGTGTGGCCCTGCAGCTGCAGCATCTCCATCACCCTCTCCGCACTGAACGCACCGCACGTGTCGACGTACGCCACCCGCTGCTGACATGACACACATGCTGCACTGCTCAGACATATCTGAAGGCAACACACAGCATGTGTTATAGTCAGTAACCATATATGCCACACACACACACACACACACACACACACACACACACACACACACACACACACACACACACACACACTGCGTAAAATATTAATGTCCATCTTTCCAATACACCAAGAAGATCCGGGTTAAACTAGATCTTCAGCAACCCATGCTTGCCATAAAAGGTTACCATGCTTGTCAGAAGGGGCGATTAACGTGATCGGATGGTCAGGTCACTGGACTTTGTTGATGTATCCCAATTACGTGGATCGATGCTCATGATGTCAATCACTGGATTATCTAGCCAAGACTGGATTATTTACAGACCACCGTCATGTATCTACATATTGCTGAGTGCAGCGTTAAACAACAAACAAACACACCCCAAAATATGCTCCAAGTGCCACATCATTACCCTGGTCAGTTGATCAGTGTGCAATCAATTTTACATTCTCAGCTCCCTGGGAAGTATTCAACCAAAATTGAGGATGAAGGTATAACAGTCACATTACCATCTCATCTTACCGGGTACCCATTCACTGCTGGGTCAACAGGGTATTTACTAAAGAAACAGCCAATTTAACATGTGTTTCCGTGTGGGGCAGGACCAAAATCTGGATCCAAGGGAGTAAAATATATTCAATACCAAAGAATGAGTGAGTGAGTCAAAATGTAAAGTCACATTGGCAGTATTTCAATCTCATTTAATTTAGATCTAAGTTCTCGCTGCCACTAAACAAAGATTTTAGGACATCCCTTTACGGGTCACGTCCGAACGACCTTTCGCAAATTTGACCAACCACTGAAATGATTGACAACATTAGCCAATTAGAAATCAGCTTTCTCTAGCTTTACGGCACTCGTTTCAGCCTGGCGACTTCCATTTCAGACTACGCTTTTGAAAAATATGCTGACACAGTTCTCGATTCAAAATTTTGAAAACTGAAGAAACGAACATTCCGGAATGTCTAATATATGGTTGAGATTGTATGGCAGTGCTTCTCCTCCAATCAAATGTTTATCCCACGGAAGCGAGAGATGGACGATAACTTTGACAGGATCAGTCGTTCGGAATACCCTGTGTTAACGTTTTCGAGGTTGCATGATTAGAAAACACATTCCGACTGTCACTTTCATGATCTGGTAAGCAACGCTTTGATTGGTCGGATGATAGGTCGTTCTGACATGACCCATAATGGGATGTCCTCAGATCTTTGTTTAGCAATAGCAAGAACTAAGATCTGATGTTAATGAGATTGGCAGTATTTCAGCCATATCGTGACTTTCAATACCAAAGAAAGCTATCAAATACCCAATGTAAATAACAACATATGAGTTACTTCTCCTTGGCTCAAAATATCATCTGGAGCCCTGCTGAGTTATGCCTTAATCATGGGGACAACGGTATAAGGATCAATACTGAAATGTCGCCTTTACAGTAAGTAAAGAGGTTGTTATCCATAAACTGTGTCTACGTTGTCATCCGTCAACTTCAAAGAAATGCCTTTCAAACAATTAACCCACAATGAGTTGACACTGAGTTCATCTCGCAAATTATAAATGAGCTGTTTTTGTTGTACAGTAAACTACGGTTATAACGAACTCAAAGGGACTACTAATTTTAGTTTGTTATAACCGTAATTCGTTATAAGCATATATACAGTATAACTACAGCAAATAGTCGGGACTAAAAAGTTAGTTCGTTATATCCGTTAGTTCGTTATAAGCGTGTTCGTTATAACCGTAGTTTACTGTAGTTGTAAACCTGTTAACTAGTGTAGTTTTTCCAGATCCCTTCATTTTTCACCAGGGGTCACTTTATCCTGTAATGGTGGGGACTGTTACATACAATGATTCAAAGACAGTAAATCTTGAAATTAATGCGAGCCGCAGCATGATTTAAATGCGAAAAATGCTAACGGTCTTTGCTCGCATTAACTAACTTTGCATTTATGTTTCCAAATGACTATAAACAATAAGATGTCCTCACTGCACACTTTGGAAAGCGGAAATACCAACTTGAATATAAACACAAACACAATTTACTGAGCAGCAGTTGTAACAAGTATATAACAATGTCATTCAAAGAATAGTAATTACACATTAGCATCACTGAGTTATCACTGCTGGGGTCAAGAGATCTACCCACTCGTGTCAAGCTTGTTGACAACTTCTGCACATACCAATCAGTGAACTGTTGTAGGTTCAATTATATTATTGCCTTAATACCAGTCAACAGAGTAAACATATAAACTGCGTGTTGTGTTTAGGAAAACACTGTTTATTGTTTTTTTACGGAACTGCTCTACTCAGTGCTAATAAGTGGAACTATTTGCTGTTTGACTGGAATATGGTAAGGATATGCGTCATTCCACTGGGGATGGGGTGGGGGAGTCGCATTGATATTGAGTCACACTTTTGGCTAGGGGTCAGCAGTCGTATTAATTTGGAGACGCATTAATTTCCAGACTTACAGTACCCAATGTGAATGATAACATATGAGTTACTTCTCAATGGCTCAAAATATTATCTGGGCCCAATTGCACAAAGCGATCTTAGCGCTAAGATGATCGTAACTCCCATACTTTAACATATGCTTGCAATAATCGGAGCACTAAGATCGCTTTGTGCAAGTGGGCCTGGAACCCTGCTGAATTATGCCTTCACCAACAAGGGTTCACCTGGGTGGTCCAGGGTTTTGAAATTCAACTCAGGTATTATTTATCGCCCTCACCTGAGTCTTCCCTACTGCAATCTCTCCAGCTACCTCAGTTACCTCCCCTGTATAGAGACCTCCATCTAAGATCAAGTCTAGGCTGGAAGACGAAAAGCTTGAAATTTAAAACTTTAAAACATTTTTAACTGTATTCATGGTATAACAGGTACCGATATTAACTTGAGTCAAGAAAAAATATTAATTCAAAGAAGTATGATCCGATTTACAATAATTCACTTCGTAAATTTAAGTCTTTGTTTTATTCTTTTCATAGATACTCATGACAAGTGTTGTTAAAATTAATTTTCTTTTCACATGACCTGTGAACCTGGTAGACCATTTCCCCCAACACAATCATGTGTTTGTTTTCAAGCACTGTCAGTGTCAGGAAACAACGTTATGACTCAAATTCCGTTTTTGCCATGGAATCCAACTTTTGCACATGCCATTTCATTCACAGCATAGATTGGCATGAGATTTGTTTTGTTTGTTTGTTGTTTAACACCGCACTCAGCAATATTCCAGCTACATGATGGCGGTCTGAAAATAATCGAGTCTGGACCAGACAATCCCGTGATTAACATCATGAACATCGATCCATGCATTTGGGATACGATGACATGCATCAACCAAGTCAGCGAGCATGACCACCCGATCCCGTTAAGACTAATAGTCTTACACCTTCATCACTTCAGGCTTTCCTCCCACATCAAGCAAACATGTTGTTACATAGCTGCAATATTGTTCGCAGAGGCGTTAAACCCAACGCACTCACTCGTACTTCAAGTCAAAGGGGGTGTGGCCAAAAGAGGTCATGAGGAAGACAAGGATCATGTTTACAGGAAAAACAGAAAAAAACAACCCTCCTAACTAAAGTACTCACTGAAATGAAAAAAACCTCTTTTTTCGACCACAGATCTTAAATAAATACAGTTAATATACAAAATATGTAAATATTCAAACAACTAAATTAGTACTAATTGGGCCGTGGCACAAATACAGCGTATCAAATGTTTTTATGCCTTTTTACACGTAAAAATGTGAATAAAACAGACTATTGTGAAACAGGGCATAACCAGGTGTAAGTAGATCAAGGTGAACGATGACACCTTGACGACAGGTGCATAATGCCTATAGTCTGTTTCTGCTATGTCAATTTGGACTTAGTTTTATTTTTGAATGTTGAAAGTGCCGACAAATTATCTCCTGTAAAGTACATTTTGTATTGTTCACTGAGATCAAACTAGCAAATCCAGACTAGTACTTTTCAAGTTGTTTTGTTATTTCGTATTTACAGCTACGTAACACTTTGTGTCGATTTTTAAATTGAGAAAAACAGTTTTTATTCATTTCCGTGAGTACTTTAGTCAGATTTGATAACATGAGAAAGAATATTTTTAAACTTGTCTGATGTACTTGCCTTTCACAACCAGTGGAGAAGAAGGCAAGGGAAGAACAAGCACTAGAATAGGCTTCATGGCCAAGGACGGGATAAGAAGAATGTTGGGCGAGAAGAACTCTTTTTATTGCTATAAGATCCTGCAAAAAACAAAACATATTTTTAATAGAAATTATTGAATAGCCAAGTGGTTTTTTTCCATATGGTAATTATAATATAATAGGATTGAAAATAAGCATTATGCTAGGGCTGGGACGAGTCCAGATTTACTACCCGGGTACCCAACCCCTACTACCCGACCCTACCCAGATACCCACTGTAGGCCTCAAGAGATAGGTACAAAATGTCCGATTGGGAATTTTTTTACCATAACCCTGGCAAAACATATTTAGATACATGTATTAAACAATCTGATCATGCATGCATACACTGAAGTTGACTTAAGTTATATCTTTATTCAACCATATGAAAAGTCAGATGGAATGCGTGCATAATTTTTGTCATTAAACAATATATCACTTGACTAACCACGGGTCCGGGTAGTTCTGTGGGTACCTGAGTCGTACTCAGTACCAATCCGACCTGGGTACCCAAGTTACCCGTCCCAGCTCTACTATATGCATCTTCCTGAGGCAAGGGAGTTAACTGGCTATAAAAGAATTTGCAGAGCATGTGTACCATAAACTGAACGTTGACAGATATTTTCCAAATATATTCATGTTTGTTATCAAGGTGCTCAACTAATTTGATGTATTTTGCGAGGGAAGACACGTTTTATTACAATAAATATGATTATCGATTAGATCGTTTTGACTGGGCGCTGCCATTTTGTTTGAAGCAAATGCAAGTTATGTGAGAGGTGGAATTTGAATGGTCAATAGGAGGGTCATATAAGGGACATAACTCGTAACAGTCACTGGTGGCGCTACGATTGAGCCCAGGTATTCCAGCCTAGTTTGGCAAGGGTGGATCCTGGACTGTTATAGTCAGTTAACTCTCTTGCTTCAGGACAATGGTCTATATGACATATGATATACACAATATGGAAACACACAAGGGTACAAATCATATTAAACATTCTTGAAATATTCAAAATTTTAAAATAAATTTCACTAAGTGAAGAAACTTTAGAAGCTGCCCATTAACACAAAATTTTGAGTCAACAATCCTATTTATCACATGACAAATGATCTGCAGTCATGTTTGTTTACAAAAACAACCACACATCAGGCAATACCTATCTGAACGTATTGAGTTGGTTGGTTGGTTTGTTGTTTAACGCCGCACTCAGCAATATTCCAGCTAGATGACGGCAATCTGTAAATAATCGAGTTTGGACCAGACAATCCAGTGATTAATATCATGAACATCGATCCACGCAATTGGGATCGATGACATGCATCAACCAAGTCAGCGAGTCTGACCACCCGATCCCGTTAGTCGCCTTTTACGACAAGCATAGTCGCCCCTAACGGCAAGTATGGGTTGCTGAAGACCTATTCTACCAAGGAATCTTCACGGGTCGAACATATTGAGATACACACTGCATCAATACATGGAGCTAAGTAAAAATAGTTTCAGCGGTCTGTCAATAACTGAATCTGGACCAGACAATCCAGTGATTGACATCATGAGCATCGATGCACGCAATTGGGATACAGTTACATGCCTCAACCAAGTCAGCGAGCCTGACCACCGACATATTCAATCAATTGCCTCTTACAACAAGTATGGGTTGCTGAAGACCAATTCTAACCAGCATCATCACTTCTGACCGGATTAAACGTGTTAAAAGTAGTTCCTGCTAGGCGGCTGTATTTGCATATTTATCACAATTCAGATTGGTGCATATATCAATGATAAAACTGTCCATTGCCATCTTCCCGAGGCAAGAGAGTTAACTGACTTTAAAAGTCCAGTTTCCACCCTTGCTGGACTGGCATTCCTGAGCTCAATCGTAGCGCCATCAGTGGCTATTTCGAGCTATATCCCTTCTAAGCCTCTCCTATGGACAATCAGATTCCACCTCTGGTATCACTTGCATTTGCTTGAAAAAAAATAGTGGCGCCCAGTAAGGACGATCTGATCGATAATCAAGGTCTATATTGTGATAAAGCTGGTCTTACATCACGAAATGCATCAAACCATGTGAGTACCTGGATTAAAATATGAAAAGATTTGGAAAATATCTGTTGAATTGGCGGTGCACATGCTTGGCAAATCCTGCAATCAACTGAAATCTGCATGAATGTTTACGAACCGGATTTTCGATTTCATTACGCGAAAATATCATTAGTCCAGCCAAATGGGTGGAATCCTAGTCAGTTAACTCTCTTGCTTCGGGAAGATGGTCCATTGTATGAATATTGATTTATCCAGGACAGGACTGTTCACATTAAGGGGGTGATTGGGGAATTTCTACATATATAGACCCAACATTGAATATGTAACTTACCTTCAGTCAAGTATTATTTATTGAACTAAACACATACAATTATGGGGTTTGAAAGTATGCACTGAAATTATTGTGAGCTTAATCAAGGTAAAACTTTTCAGTTTGATTTAATTGTTTTTTTCACATTCCGCTAACCCGGCGTGTTATCCATTGAATCATGCCGTCATAGCATAGTGAAGTCAGATCAGTGCCTCGCATGAAGTTGTGAGTTTACTTGGACTAAGTTGGAGAGAGTGCTTCAGAAAATGACTGACAACTTTTGTATTTAACAATATCGATAAACATAAATATGTTTTAAGATTTGCGAACATAACAGCTAGAATATTTACATTTTCGGGCATAAAAAACCCACCCTCCAATCTGAAAACTACATAGGTTATCTAAAATGACAATCCCGTACACCAGCAGCGAGTTCCGGCCTGTTGTAACAATACTCACTTTGTATGGTATCGAGCACCTTTGTGCTAGACTTTCTACATCGTCTGTGATAAAATCTGTCACAGTTTTCACGCCAGTCTTCTTAAGAGAGTCAACTACTGCCTGTGTCAAGGCTGAACACACTCCCGGAATGAGAGCTGTCATTTCGATTTAATAACTTCACTTCCGGGTTTACAAGGGAGGTTACTCTACATCACTTTGACAACTTCCCAAACAGCTCGTATTTAAACCATTTGGGAAGGGAGGATGAGACTGAGTTAAATCATATAAATGTAACAAGATAGATAATAATGAAACATAGATTTTATATCTGATTAAATATCAGAAACTGCATATAATCTTTATGTCCGTTACGTTGTTTCTTGCATTCACTCCATTCAACCACAGGAGTCCGTATCTAAAGATAGACGCCCTCATGCATATTCATGACCATCTCCACACGCGAGCCTTCGATCAAGAAATCGGAGCAACATGCATATTCATGTATATTCATGGCCATCTCCACACGCGAGCCTTCGGGCTCGCGTTTGGAGATGGTCATTAATATGCATGAGGGCGTCTATTTTTAGATACGGACTCCTGTGATTCAACTACTGCTTAGTTTAACGTTCATTACAAAGGATTGATACTATTATCGTGTGCGGTGATAGATTCATGTTCTACATTCCACAGCTTTTTAGGTACACTGGAGCATATGTTCCTTCTACCAAGATTTCAACGGGCGTCAGACGACTCTTGCTCAAAAGCTGTTTGATCATGTTACACAACCTTCACACCCTTGTAAATCTCTCTATATTTGACGCAACCTTGACACCAATGATGTCAGATGCAATTCCATATTTTGACTTGTATCATCTGTTCCGTGTTTGTTCAGGTGAACACTTGAATTGCCTTTGCATGTGTTTGGGTCTAAAAAATAATCACGCACGCGGTTAATGAAAATATATTACACATGCCCTGCACTGTAGGAACAAAAATAGTGTCTATAAAATGTTCCCCAATAGCCCCTGACAGTCAAATCCAGACCATTGTCTTCACGTGGTGGGGTGTCCCACGCCGTGATATTGCTGGAATATTGCTAAAAGCGGCGTAAAACCTCACCTCATCACACCTACATAGTTTACATTTCCTTTCATATATTGGTATGGTAGCCCATCTTCCTTTTCAATAGGCAGGTGGTAGCATAACTTTCGAATTTGTTGTAGCTTTATTGTCAAAGGAAATGGCGTAAAACTGGAATAATTTAAGCAGAATACTTTACATTAATATTCAGATTGCATTATGGAGTAGGCTGAGCCATTACGTGAATTTGAAATATATTCATTCCAATTTTGCTTAGCGTTATCGGTTAGAATATGGTGGCGGAAATGTTTTTAAGCAACGAAGCTGAAATTTACATGTTTTATATTTATTTACATAGGATCACCATTTACCAACGTAAGTAGTTGTGCTGTGGAATATATACACATGCACAAAAGTTAAGCGCCACCATATTCATTGTCTCTTGATTTCACATGTGGGAATCAGAAATACGAAATATGATGATGTACGACTGAATTAGGCTTCCATAGTTTCATGAACCAAAATTTGTCCAGATACCACAAGGAAAGCGTGTTTTACGTGTTGCTGCAGTTCCCCTACCCTATAAATAGTGAAATTCAAATTTCAGACACGTGGTTGCATTTCGCTCCTGTGTGAGATTCACCTTCCAATAGAGGATGAAAATCAGCCATGGTGAGGGAGAAAGTTAACGAACGCTGAAAGATGGCAAGTGATAGGCATGACAAATGCTGGCATGTCATGCAGGGCCATGGCAAGACAAATGGGTCGCCATCACAGTGTTAATCACTCGTTTGATTGTCAAACATGGTCAAACCAATGATGTCAACGACATGCATAGGTCTGGTAGGCCAAGAAAGACCTCCAACAGAGAGGATAGACGTCTTTTCAGGATAGTCAGACGAAATCCATTTGCCACTTCAACAGATTTGAGACTGCAGTGGATTACCCATTAGAGACTCTCGACGATGACCTAAGGCGTCGGCTCAGAGCGGCTGGTTATAACGCAAGAAGACCAGTAAAACGTCCTCACCTGACTGAGAGGCACATGCGGAATCGTCTGATATGGTGTCGTGCCCGTAGTCGATGGAACTTGGCCAACTGGAGAAGGATCCATTGGTCTGACGAGTGTCGAATGGTGCTACGAACTGTTGATGGTCGAATACGTGTTTGGAGGCAACGTAACACTCGTTTTGCACCAAGGAACATCCAGAAGACCTAAGCATATGTGGCGGGGGGTCTGTCATGATATGGGGTTGTGTTTCCTTCGGCTGCAAACTTCCGCTGGTGACAATTCGTGGAAACCTGAATGGCCAACAATGGTAGTCCAGTGGTAGCCCCTCATTTTGACAACCATCCTCTTCAGAGAAGACCTGTTTACATGGACGACAATGCTAGACCACACAGATCTCGGGCAGTTTTGGCTTATTTGCGTCAAGAAGCTGTTGCCACTCTTCCTTGGCCGGCCTGTAGTCCGGATCTTAATCCGATTGAGCACCTCTGGGACATTCTTGGCCGGAAAATCAGACATCGTGATCCCCCAGTTCAAAATCTCGCTGGTTTTGAAGCCGCACATCATGAAGAATGGATCCATTTGCCTCAGAGAAGCAGTCAACGGCTTGTAATGAGTATGAGGCGTAGGGTTGAAGCTGTGGTCAATGTCCGTGGATCATACACACGTTACTGACGTTTCTGTCTTGCAATAGATTCTGCACTCCATAGGGTGTCTATGTGATACCTGGTATGGTCTGCTGATATCATGACAGTTACCTGACAAAAAAAAGTTTTTCAATGTTTTCTAATCCTTCAATTTCTGGTCTTCGGTAAAATTACATTCTGCTCATATTCTTTTGGAACACAAGATAAACTTGCTTTGGGACAACTTTTGCATCACATGAGGTTTACATATACGGGTTATAACAATCGTACATCTCGTTATGATAGTCATTATTAAATGCCAAAAGTAACAGCTCATAAATATGGTGGGTGGCGCTTAACTTTTGTGCATGTGTATATATTTTATAGAGTAAAGAATCCATGATAGTTTTGGGAATTTCCTTAGTAACACTTTCGACCAGAGTGTTGACATATGTGTCTTATCACAAACAGATGGTCGGTAACTCCCTAATTCTCCATAAAGCAAAATAAAGGCTTATCTTGTGAAATGATAATATTTTCCCAATGAAGGTTATATGGCCATTTTAAATTTGTGTTATATTAACAACAAAAAAACAACGTTCAATGGAAGGCGATGATAACTTATTGACAAATAACTCTACTCAACTCTAAGATTATGGGGGGCATGGGTGGGACATTAGTTCATGGCACCGTAGAGGGCTGGGCAGAGAGTTGCGACCGTTAAATATTTGAACCCCGCAAGTGTTGGAATACAAAATTCACCCTAAATTTAATTGTTTTGTTTTTTGTAAGCATCATATTACAACGATTACAAGTTTGAAATTTGATAATAATTATAATTTCACTGACAGCGGTCAAATTATAACTGTGGTTCGTTATCTTTCACCACGCAAAGACAATGACTGGTTTTTCTCAAATACAAGGCTTATCTCAGTGTCCTACTTCACAATCCATAGTTGCCGGGGACTTCATTCGTTGTAACAGTCCTTGCTTGTCTGGTAATATCAGGGTCGATCAATTTCTAAACGAATCACTGTTGTTGCGGTTTAACTACAAGTATCAACAAAGGTGGTATGATGAAGAATTTGTACCATTCTACAATTCTATCATGCATATTCACAGTTTATATAACAGTTGCATGGTGCAGTTTTTTCATTAGAACATATTGTTCACGATGCGTCATAGTTATGTTCGCAGTAGGTTGCCTACAAATCTACGTGCCATACATGTACGCAGCGATATAATGGATCGGGTGACATGACTCCAGATAATGGAACGATACAGATGAACGGTACAGTGAAGAATTCAACAAAAGGAACAACAGCCTTTGCGTGCATCTTGAGTTAACTATTTTCAACAAGAGTTGGGACGATAAAACACAAACATCTCCACGCCCTAACCCAGAACGGAAAAGAAAGAAGAGATAAAACGGTCTGTCTCGGCCCTCGAGAATTCTAAAGGAGGACAACTTCTAATTCACTTAGAAGGCCTGAGTCCAGAAGATCCGAGTCAGGGAAATTTTGACGAGTTCATAGATGATGACCTTCAAACCATCATAAATTCTGATGAAACATTTGATGATGTTTACTACAAAAAGACACTCCAGGGGGATCCGGAATTTGTGGTTATTGATATTGAGCCTTCATCTACAATAATCATAACAGATCCCAAGACTAAATTTATCATGGACAAAGGGTTTACACCAGATAGTGCACAAGCACTGCGGTTCTTCCTGAAACACATCTCTGATGCGCCAAATTCAAATCATTCAGAGGTCAAGCATAGACAGCCTTTCTTAAATGACAGGACATTACAAACCATAACTGAAAAAAAGAGATATTCAGGTGAAAGGATTTGTTTTCACAACGCAAGAATAGAAGAAGAAGGAGGCAATTTTAGGAGACACAAAACAATTTGTTGACCACTTGTGGGATCTGCGTCTTCCTCTCTATGTAACTGCACTGGCAAAACTAAAGGAAGGTGGGTCATTTATTCTTGGCATAGGAGAAAAAGAAAAGAAATTTCAAACCAAGATCAAAGGAAATCCAGTCCAATATTTGTCTAAAACATTTGAAGATCTTGGAATTGAATTGCCCACGGACAAATATCCTCAAATAAAACAATTAATAGAGCAACGTTTGAAAGGTGGTATGTGCCACATTGACAACAAGGGAGACATTTAAGATTGGAATGACAAACACATCACTGCTCACTTTCATAAAATCACTGGAAAGGACCATACATTGCTTGAGGTTGTAGTAAATCCAATCACAGGTGTATTGTTTTATGATAACAAGGGACCAGAGGCATACAAGGTGGAACATAGAGAACCATTTCTGCAGTATACCCGGTGTGAGCTCAAGGACATGATAACATCAGTTACAAAACATTAGAAAGGTATTGTTGTTTTCACCTTGTAAACTCAAATAGTAAGGGTGAAAGAGTTTGGTTTAACACCAACGTGAACGGTATATAGGTTATTATGGTTTTAATGTCAGAGGAAAAGTGGTGAGGGTCACAGATACCACTATCATAAGAATAAATGACTTGATTCATACAGTAAAGAATCATTTTTCGATTTTGACCTATCGTTATGTTAACTTAAATATATTACCCGTATTCATTTAATTAGGCAATTCAGCTGATTTGTTTCATCAATCTCTTTTACCAGGTATATTTACAGATATGGCAACTGAGGTAGTTTTAGCAGACGCCATCGAAGGACCATGCATTGCTTGAGGTTGTAGTAAATCCAATCACAGGTGTATTGTTTTATGATAACAAGGGACCAGAGGCATACAAGGTGGAACATAGAGAACCATTTCTGCCGTCTACCCGGTGTGAGCTCAAGGACATAATAACATCAGTTACAAAACATTAGGAAGGTATTGTTGTCCTTACCTTGTAACCCTTATAGAATGAAGTTACTATCAACTGAGGAACACACCGCAAATGTTCAGAGTGAATGAGTTTAGCTTAACACCATCTTGACAGCATTTAAAGTATCATGGCTACAATATCTGAAGAAATCACCAAGTGGGTCTTAGATACCATTATCCTTAGCTTATATTGCATATTCATTACCTTAAAGAATCTGTATACAATGTGAATAAAGCGACATAACCCTTTCCATATCCAATAGAAGTCTCTGCATAAAGCAGAGTTGATTGTACAATTTCGACTATATCATGAGCATATGTTTATGAATCACTTTCAAATAGTAATGATACCAGGTGTTCTCGAAAAGGTGAGCGTATCCTGCCCCATAGATGGCACCCGTCAGAAAGAAATGCACAGGCGAGTCAGTTGTTCACCCGAAAAATATGGGAACATATGCGTCAAATTTGGAACTGCCTCCACATATCTACCATAAAACTGTTTGAAAGCTTTACTGGTGCCTTGTATGTTGTTACCTTGATCGAACAACTTCTGAGCAAGAGTCGTATGACGTTCTTTGAAATCTTGGTGGAAAGAACGTGCTCGATTGTATCTCAAAAGTTGTGAAATGTAAACACCAAAGGCTGGAGCTGCTGGAATACTGCTCGCCTTGAAGGGAAAGTTGACTATTGGAAAGTTGAAGTCATCCTCTTATCATACAGTCTTATGGAGAGTGTTTTGTCACTCTGAATTTTTATGCATAGGTCTAAATATGAAACAGGTGAGTCGGTCTCACTGGTCTCCATTATTTCTAGTTCAGACGCGTAAAGAAGTGGAAGGGAATTTACTATTTGATTGTTATTGAACAATATGAGATCATCAATATACCTGAAGCGTAAGTTAAACTTCTTGGACAAATTACTTTCTTTTGATTTTGCCAGTCTGAATAATTATCCTCATTATCCTATATGTTTTACATATGCACTTACTTATGGAATTCGTTTGGATAAGCAGGCACTCTCTGTTAACAGGTATATTTACAGATATGTCATCTGAGAAGTTATCTGTCAAGGTAGTTTTGACAGACGCCATCGAGGAAGACTTAACTATTGAAGTCCCCATAGATACAAGCAATCCTTTCCGCCCAACAGTACATGCAACTGAAAACGTTTTGGAGGAACTGTCTAACCGACTTCAAAATGGCTTGAACTGCTCTCATTATCTTTAGGTTGCTTACGTCATATTCTTACATAATAACATATTGATATATTCAACATGAGTGATGGAGCATACCTTACCTTTTCCGAAAATAACTTAGCCCCCAAAATATAAGTCTTGCTTCTCTTATGGTAACAATATATATATTGCCACAAATGGGGAAAAGAACTTCTTCGGAAAGCTTTGGTATGTTAAATGTGCTTTACATCGCTGGAGAGCCTGTCTGTATGGGTACTGCAATGTAAGGTCAGGAATGTGTCATGTGAGTGAATGTAACAATCCACTTTGACACCCCTGAACAACTGTCTTAGATTGTGTAGACAGTCTCTGAATGAGGGTCCTGACTGTAGCCTTTGGGCCCCTGAGCTTATCCTCTTTCTTATCTGAAAGGAGTTTGTCCAGATTGTAAAGTGGTATCTTCTACTTGGGGTAAAAGTCAGAACTTCTAATTTGCCAAGTGTTCACAGTCTACATGGTTTGTCATTTCTATTTGTACTATGAGTATAAAATCAGTATTACAACTATTCAAGTAATACACATCCAACGGTACACTACTTCAAGGTCAAATTCTAGGTGACATCATTTAATCAATGTGAAGAAAAGCCTTTGGATTCTTTATATTATAGGGGGACAACTTTTATAAATGTAGGTGGTGGTTTTAGTCAAAAGACTAATTTTCACATCTAGCTGTGTTCTGTTTATGTCGTTTTTCATAAAATGTAACTGTTTCTTGTTTTATGTAATTTTCATGTTTTTCAATTAGGATAAACATATAATTCATATGTTTTAGATGTCCATATGCTCCCAGTGGGTGCAGTAAGAAGATGGAACAAAGAAATGCAAATCCTTCTTGGTAGCTCAAGGATTGGATTGATATACATCGCAAAATCTCTTGCAGAGACATTAGATTTGCAACTGAAAGACACAAGCATTGACGGAGTTGTATTTGATGCATGCGTTATCGTATGTGATCATCCAGTTCAAATTCTTACCTTTTTTAGAAGCGTGTCAAAAAACAAATATGAAATGACGAGTTGTCCAAAGGTGTCCTGTATTCATTAAGGGAATTTACTGATGAAAAATTTAACATTTTAAATGGTGTACTTGATATAGATGATTTGAAAGACAGTGCAGGTTTTGAAGACAAAAGGAATACCATTTTTGAGAAGTCTGGTCGTTATGTCAATCCCAGATCTCTTCACATGAATCCTAACAAATGCAGAAACTTATGCAAAGCCTTCTTCGTGGCAGCAGCTGTAGATCACACATCTAACCCCACATCATCAGACAAAATAGTTCTGCTTAAGTGGGATGTCTACCAACTTCTGGAAAAATACCTTGATGAACAGCTGGTAATTGTGAATTACGCATCCAAAGAAAGAGCGATGAAAGAAGTCGACAGAAGGTTATCAAGATCAGGAAGTACAGTGAAAACAAAAAGGTGACAATTCATCTACTAGTCACTAGATGAGTAGATGAGAGAGATATGTTATTTGACAAGAAACGTAATATGTATAATTTTCTGTATTTTCGTGCTGATAATAGTCATTGAGGTAGACTGAATGTAATTGTTTTTGCAGTCAGATATATATAACATTAATCAACAGGGCACATTTCGTATGTGCAGTGAGTGAGTGAGTTAATATTTAACGTCGCATCGACATTATTTCAGCTATATAGCGACGAGACCAGGCTAATATGTTTACAATTGAGTCATTTATGCAAAGCCATATTTAAAACAATTTACAGAGAATATCATGAATACAGTTTTAAAACAAGGGCTATAGGCCACCAGTAAACAAAGCTAGGCCACCTTACTGGGGATCATGGGGACTTACAGTACCTCTGCTTCCTGCATGATACCCCAGCAGGATTTACGTATATGTTGACGTTGGGAAGTATATGTTACCATTAAACTAACATGACCAACAATGAAGCTTTAAGATTTTAATTGTGACATTTGAATACAATAGTTGAAATCAAACTAAAATGAATATGGACCTCAAAGGAAGTTAAGACTAGTCATGTATGATAAAATCAGGCAAACTGATGTTGTGACTGCATTAGTTAAATCTAATGATTATATATTTTATGGTGAAATACTGTATTTATCTGAAAACATAGGATAGATATCTCAATTGTGTGAAATGATATTTTATGCAAGAACTACTTTCAGTCTGCCTCTATGGTTTTCAGAGAAAGACAACAAATCAATAAAAAAAAGCCGTAATAAATAAGAACATTTGTATTGTCACAAATGAAAATATCAACTGTCTGAGATACAAACAAATATCTTATAATCTCTGACTGAAACATATAGGTGTACTATACAGTAATTGGTGAGTATCATAATAAACAGTTCATCAGTTTGAACAATAACAAAATGTCATAATACATGTCAGAAGAGTGGGCATCCCGCACAAAAACAAGCTTGCAACACCAAATGATGGTGACTGTTTTGAAGACGATACCATGCACAATGTGGCTGATTCTTGTGCATCTTCGCAGATGCCACTCATTAAAGGTAAACGTTGGTTGTTCCATGGTAAATCAAATGGTATTTGAATATGTTATTATAAACCATCAAACACATGGGTTGACATTTATTCATTTGGTGTAAGTTAATTTTCATCATCCGGATTATTTTGTCCGACTTGTTTTTGATTAGTTTGTCAACACCAACATGTGTTACTTAGTTTGTCAACAACCCACAAGTGTTCCATTGTTTGTCGGCAACACACTTGTGTTCCTTGGCTTGTCAGCAACACACATGTGTTCCTTGGTATGTCGACAACACTCTTGTGTTCCTTGGCTTGACAGCAACACACATCTTTTCCTTGGTATGTCGACAACACTCTTGTGTTCCTTGGCTTGTCAGCAACACACATGTGTTCTTTGGTATGTCGGTAACACGCAAGTGTTCCATAGTTTGTCGGCAACACACTTGTGTTCCTTGGTATGTCGACAGCACTCTTGTGTTCCTTAGCTTGTCAGCAACACACTTGTGTTCCTTGGTATGTCAGAAACACACAAGTGTTACTTGGTATGTCGGCAACACACTTTCGTTGCTTGGTATGTCGGCAAAACACAAGTGTTCCTTGACATGTCGACATAAGACAAGTGTTCCTTGGTATGTCGGCAAAACACAAGTGTTACTTAGCTTGTCGACAACACACAAGTGTTCCATAGTTTGTCGGCAACACACTTGTATTCCTTGGTTTGTCAGCAACACACTTGTGTTTCTTGGTTTGTCAACAACACACATGTGTTCCATGGTATGTCGGCAACACACAAGTGTTCTGTGGTTTGTCGACAACACACAAGTGTTTCATAGTTTGTCGGCAACACACTTGTGTTCCTTGGTATGTCGGCAACACACATGTGTTCCTTGGCTTGTCAGCAACACACTTGTGTTCCTTGGTTTGCCAGCAACACACTTGTGTTCCTTGGCTTGTCAGCAACACACTTGTGTTCCTTGGTTTGTCAGCAACACAGATGTGTTCCTTGGCATGTCAGCAACACACTTGTGTTCCTTGGTTTGTCAGCAACACAGATGTGTTCCTTGGTTTGTCAGCAACACAGATGTGTTCCTTGGTTTGTCAGCAACACACATGTGTTCCTTGGCTTGTCAGCAACACACTTGTGTTCTTTGGTATGTCGGCAACACACATGTGTTCCTTGGCGTGTCAGAAACACACATGTGTTCCTTGGTTTGTCAGAAACACACTTGTGTTCCTTGGTTTGTCAGAAACACACTTGTCTACCTTGGTTTTTTCAGAAACACACTTGTGTTCCTTGGTTTGTCAGAAACACACTTGTGTTCCTTGGTTTGTCAGAAACACACTTGTGTTCCTTGGTTTGTCAGAAACACACTTGTGTTCCTTGGTTTGTCAGAAACACACTTGCGTTCCTTGGTTTGTCAGCAACACACTTGTGTTCCTTGGTTTGTCAGAAACACACTTGTGTTCCTTGGTTTGTCAGCAACACACTTGTGTTCCTTGGTTTGTCAGCAACACACTTGTGTTCCTTGGTTTGTCAGAAACACACTTGTGTTCCTTGGTTTGTCAGCAAACCACTTGTGTTCCTTGGTTTGTCAGCAGCCAAATTGTACACATTGGGTTTATCAAAACTGATAAACGTCTACAACCTATATATCCGATAAGCTGACACACCATGCAACATACACGTTCAGACAGACCAGACTGAGATAATCGTGCACCGAGATACTGCAACCCGCTCACAGTCCGCACCGTCGTGAGTCTACGCACGATACACAAGGCTAATGTCTCTCTCGTGATGTGACCTGAACCATGATATACATGCAGCCAAAGGAAGATGAGTCTTGACCATGAGGTAAGTCCCTGAATGTCAAACGTGTCCTAATTCTAATTATGTAATTGTGTGTTATAACTGTTCAGACTACTACCATATGTTTTATTATTTTTATTTGTTAGTTGACGCAGGTTCCCAATATTGCAGCTATACGACGGCGGTCTGTAAATAATCGAGTCTCGAGCAGACAATCCAGTGATCAACACCATGAGCATCGATCTATGCAATTGGGATACGGTGACATGCATCAACCACGTCAACGAGCCTGACCACACCGATCCCGTTAGTCGCCTCTTACGACACATGGGTTGCTCATGGCCATTTCTTACCAGGATCGTCACGTCGATAGGTTTAATTAGCCAAATAAAGGTCTCTACGCATTTTTAAAATGATACTCAAATATTACTTTTGAAATGTTGAAAAAAGCTGTGTTAAACGTGAGCCGTTCAACAACTCGAATGTATTCTTTAGTTCAAATGCAGTCATAAGGCAGTATATTCTATTTGCATGGCATACTGTTCATGCGGTTCCTGAGATGCTTGTTAACTGAAACAAAAGGTATTCAACCCGGTCACATCAACCATCTGAAAGACACACAGAATGGTTCCTTGTTTGCTATTGGGTGGTAGGGTTAGGCAGGTTAGTGGTTTAAGTGTTGGCTGATCACGCCGATGGTCCGGGTTCGATTCTCTACATGGGTACAACGTGTGAAGCCCATTTCTGAAATATACATGCATTGCTAAAAGCTGCGTAAAAGTATACTCACAAACACACCTCTTGTTTTCTAGGATTTCATATATATTTTAACATTCATTATATGTGTGACACCAAACTAGAACTAGTTTTGAGTACATAAGCCAACATGTGATACCTGTTTCAGTCCTGATTCGTAAGTGATGGTACGTATTATCTAAAGGGGATAAACTGTCAATTAATGGATGATGGAACAAATAATCAGTAATATTCTAATGATTCATAATAAAAGTATTAATAGGGAACCAGATGCTAATGGGCCCTTTACACAGGATGGCGACCTTTGTGCCTCCCGTGTGCGACCATAGAATTTGTCAGGTCATCGTTGGAGGCTCAAAGGAGGCAGAATGGCTGCCTAGGTGGTTCCAAGGTGGTACACAGGAGGTTCGGACAACATGTTCAAAACAGTCGCACAAAGGTCGCCGAGGAGGTTAGCTGCTCAAAGATGGCTCAAAGGAGGCAGAAGGGAGGCACAAGCATTACCGTTGTTGCTGAATGAAGGCCCAGTGGTCTGTTACATAGAAACATGATTTTCTGGGTTCAGGCGACCATTGAGCGTCCTGGCCAGTTTTTTATCCCTCGAGGGTGGCACAAAAGTCGCAGCCCTGTGTAATGGGGCCTAAACGAGGATGGTGGACTTTGGATGGAAGTGCTAAGAAAACTGCATTTAGGTTCCTACACTGAGCAGGAGATATTGCTAGTCAGTAATAAACAAAAAATATTGTTGCATGGTGCAGTTTTTTCAGCAGAACATATTGTTCACGATGCATCATAGTTATGTGCGCAGTAGATCCCTAAAGATATCTACGTGCCATACGAAGCGATATAATGGACGTGACACCAGATAAAGCGCCCTCTATCAGCACGTGACCACGCATAACTTCCTGATCAACTTGATAACCTGTCACTTTAGTCAATAACTTCCTATTGTGTACTGGCTACTTGGTGATAACAACTCAATGTTGAGTTTGTACTATCAACGTGCCTTGGCAAAGTCAGTTGTGTGTGCAAACGATTGCCAGCCCTAAAATAAATATTAAAAAATTCGCATGCATGCATGTAGTAAGCCTGACTTCATTGAACTAGGTCGGCAGCAATTACTTTTCTTTTAGGTGCACATGACGATTTGGTTTTTTTTACTGTGTCCATTAGGTAACTGCGAGGACAAAGTACATTCTAATGACAATAAGTATATAATCCTTAGGATACAAGTATATCTTCACACACAGTTATTTAACTGTAATACAACACCTTACCAAAGAATTCTGTTCAATTTGTCAGAAATATATCAAATGAAGTAAGGTTAAGGATTTCTGACAATTAAAAAACAGATGAACATCATTTCACATTGACGTGTTGGTCTTAGTACGTTAGTTGCACTTACATTTCAGACATGTACAAAATGTGAACGGTACAGTAAAGAATTCAACAAAAGGAACAACAGCCTTTGCGTGCACCTTGAGGTAACTTGTTTTAACTCCATTTGGGACGAAGAAAAACAAAAACCGCGACGCCCTAGCCCAGAACTGAAAAAGAAGAAGAAAGAAGAGATAAAACGGTCTGTCTCGGCCCTCAGGAATTCTTTAGGAGGACAACTTCTAGTTCACTTAGAAGGCCTGAGTCCAGAAGATCCGAGTCAGGGAAATTTTGACGAGTTCATAGATGATGACCTTCAAACCATCATAAATGTTGATGAAACATTTGATGATGTTTACTACAAAAAGACACTCCAGGAGGATCCGGAATTTGTGGTTATTGACATTGAGCCTTCATCTACAATAATCATAACAGATCCCAAGACTAAATTTATCATAGACAAAGGGTTTACACCAGATAGTGCACAAGCACTGCGGTTCTTCCTGAAACACATCTCTTATCAGCAAGATCCCCATCATTCAGAGGTCAAGCATAGACAGCCTTTCTTAAATGATGAGACTATACAAACCATAAATGAAAAAAGAGATATTCAGCTGAAAGGATTTGTCTTCAATGACATAACGAAAGAACAGAAGAAGAAGGAGGAAATTTTGAGAGACCCAGAACAATTTGTTGACCACTTGTGGGATCTGCGTCTTCCCCTCTATGTAACTGCTTTTGCAAAACTCAAAGGAGGTGGATCATATATTCTTGGCATAGGAGAGGAGGAAAAGAAATTTTCCACTGTGATCAAAGGACAGACATTCCAATATATGTCTAAATCATTTGAAGTTCACGGAATCGAACTGCCTACAGAAAAATACCCTCAGATAGAACATTTAATAGAGCAACGTTTGAAAGGTGGTATGTGCTCCATTGACTACAAGGGGGAAAGTTTAGATTGGAACGACATACATATCACTGCTCATTTTCACGACATAATTGAAGAGGGCCGTGTACTGCTTGAAATTGTAGTGAATCCAATCACAGGTGTATTGTTCTATGATAACAAGGGACCGGAGGCATACAAGGTGGAACATAGAGAACCATTTTTGAAGTGCACCCGCTGTGAGCTCAAGGACATAATAACATCAGTTACAAAACATTAGAAAGGTATTGTCTCATTTCTATTGTGGCACAAAACTCAAATGTTCAGAGTGAATGAGTTTAGCTTAATACCATCTTGACAGCATTTAAAGTATCATGGCGTTAATGTCTGAACTGAAGAAATCCCCAAATGAGTCGTTGCTACCAGTATCCTAAGCTTATATTGCATAATCGTTACTTTAAAGAATTTGTTTAGATAGTAAGTAAAGCGACAAAACCCCTTCCATATCCAATAGAAATCTCCGCATAAAGCAGAGTCGATTGTACAATTCCGACTATATCATGAGCATATGTTTACGAATCTCTATCAAATAGTAATGATTCCAGGTATTCGTGAAAAGGCTAGCGTATCCTGCCCCACCGGTGGCACCCGTCACAAACACATGCAAAGGCAAGTCCAGTGTACACCCGAAAAAAATATGGGAAAATATGCGTCAAATTTGGAACTGCCTCCACATGTATACCATTAAACTTTTTGAAAGCATTACTGGTGCCTTGAATGTTGTAACCTTGATCAAACAACTTCTGAGCAAAAGTCGTATTACGTTCTTTGAAATCTTGGTAGAAAGAGCATGATCGATTGTATCTCAAATTTTCGAAATGTAGACACCAAAGGCTGGAGCTACTGGAAAACTGCTCGACATGAAGGGACTGTTGACTATTGGAAAGTTGAAGTCATCCCTCTATCATACAGTTTTATGGAGAGTGTTTTGTCACTCTGAATCTTTATATGAAACAGATGAGGCGGTCTCACTGGACTCCTTTATTTCTTGTTCAAATGGGTAAATCAGTAAAAGGGAATTGACTTTTTGATTGTTATTGAACGATATCAGATCATCAATATACCTGAGCGTAAGTTAAACTTCTTGGCCTAATTACCTTCTTTTAACTTTTCTAATCTGAACAGAAGTTATCCTCATTATCCTTTATGTTTTACATATGCACTTTTACATAATCAGGCACTCTCTGTTTACAGGTATATTTACAAATATGTCAGCTGAGAAGTTACCTGTCAAGGATGCCATCGAAGAAGACTTAACTGTTGAAGTCCCAATTGCTACAAGCAATCCTTTCCGCCCAACAGTATATGCAACTGAAACCTTTTTGGAGGAACTGTCTAACCGACTTCAAAATGGTTTGAACTGCTCTCATTTTGTTTCGTTTGCTAACGTCATATTCTTACATAATAACACAATGATATATTCAACATGATTGATGGAGGTTACCTTACCTTTTCCGAAAATAACCTTGCCCCCTATATATAACATTGTTGCTACTCTTATGGTAAGAATATACATATTGCCAGAAATGAGGAAAAGAACTTCTTCGGAAATCATTGATATGTTAAATATGCTTTACCTCCCTGGATATCCCGTCTGTATGGGTACTGCAATCTAAGATCAGGAATGTGTCATGTGAGTGAATGTAAAAGTCCGCGTTGACCCCCCTGAACAACTGTCTTACAATGTATAGACATTCCCTGAATGAGGGTCCTGACTATAGCCTTTGGGCCCCTGAGTTTATCCTCTTCCTTTTCTGAAAGGAGTTTGTCCAGATTGTGAGATGGTATCTTCTAATTGGGGTAAAAGTCAGAACTTCTAATTTGCCAAGTGTTCACAGTCTACATGGTTTGTCATTTCTATTTGAACTAGCAGTATAAAATACGTATTACAATTGTTCAAGTAATACACATCCAACCGTACACTACTTCATGGTCAAATTCTAGGTGACATCATTAAATCACTGTGAAGAAAAGCCTTTGGATTCATTATATTATAGGGGGACAACTTTTATAAATGTAGGTGGTGCTTTAAGTAAAAAGACTAATTTTCACATCTAGCTGTGTTCTGTTTATGTCGTGTTTCATAAAATGTAACTGTTTCTTGTTTTATGTAGTTTGCATGTTGTCCAATCAGGATTAACATATGAAACATATGTTTTAGATGTCCATATGCTCCCAGTGGGTGCAGTAAGAAGATGGAACAAAGAAATGCAAATCCTTCTTGGTAGCTCAAAGATTGGATTGATATATATGGCAACATCTCTTGCACAGATGTTAGATTTGCAACTGAAAGACACAAACATTGACGGAGTTGTATTTGATGCATGCGTTATCGTATGTGATCATCCAGTTCAAATTCTTACCTTTGTTAGAAGCGTGTCAAAAGACAAATATCATACCTTGATTCAAAGAAATGACGAGTTGTCTAAAGGTGTCCTGTATTCATTAAGGGAATTTACTGATGAAAAATTTAACATTTTGAATGGTGTATTTGATATAGATGATTTGAAAGACAGTGCAGGTTTTGAAGACAAAAGGAATACCATTTTTGAGAAGTCTAGTCGTTATGTCAATCCCAGATCTCTTCACATGAATCCCAACAAATGCCGAAACTTATGCAAAGCCTTCTTCGTGGCAGCAGCTGTAGATCACACATCTAAACCTACATCATCAGACAAAATAGTTCTGCTTAAGTGGGATGTCTACCAACTTCTGGAAAAATACCTTGATGAACCGCTGGTAATTGTGAATTACGCATCCAAAGAAAGAGCGATAAAAGAAGTCGACAGAAGGTTATCAAGATCGGGAAGTACAGTGAAAACAAAAAGGTGACAATTCATTTACTAGTCACTAGACGAGTAGATGAGAGAGATATGTTATTTGACAAAAAACGTAATTTGTATATTTTTCTGTATTTTCGTGCTGATAATAGTCATTGGGGTAGACTGAATGTAATTGTTTTTTGCAGTCAGATAATTATAACATTAATCAACAGGGCACATTTCGTATGTGCAGTGAGTGAGTGAGTTAATATTTGACGTCGCATCGACATTATTTCAGCTATATAGCGACGAGACCAGGCTCATATGTTTACAATTGAGTCATTTGTGCAAAGCCACATTTAAAACAATTTACAGAACATATTTCAGCATAACAATATCATGTATACAGTTTTAAAAAACGGGCTATAGGCCACCAGTAGCCAAAGCTAGGCCACCACACTGGGGATCATGGGGACTTACAGTACCTCTGCTTCCTGCATGATACCCCAGCAGGATTTACGTATATGTTGACGTTGGGAAGTATATGTTACCATTAAACTAACATGACCAACAATGACGCTTTGAGATTTTAATAGTAAGAGTATGCTAAGATTGACATTTGAATACAATAGTTGAAAAGAAACTAAAATGAATATGGACCTCAAAGAAAGTTAAGACTAGTCATGTATGATAAAATCAGGCAAACTGATGTTGTGACTGCATTAGTTAAATCTAATAATTATATATTTTATGGTGAAATACTGTATTTATCTGAAAACATAGGATAGATATCTCAATCGTGTGAAATAAGATTTTATGCAAGAACTACTTTCAGTCTGCATCTATGGTTTTCAGAGAAAGACAACAAATCAATAAAAAAGCCGTAATAAATAAGAACATTTGTATTGTCACAAATGAAAATATCAACTGTCTGGTCATTCGATGAGATACAAACAAACATCTTCTAAATCTCTGACTGAAACATATAGGTGTACTATACAGTAATTGGTGAGTATCATAATAAACAGTTCATCAGCTTTAACAATAACAAAATGTTATCATACATGTCATTTTGTGTTTTTCATTTCTATTTTACTGTCAGAAGAGTGGCCATCCCGCACAAAAACAAGCTTGCAACACCCAATGCTGGTGACTGTTTTGAAGACGATACCATGCAAAACGTGGCTGATTATTGTGCATCTTCGCAGATGCCACTCAATGAAGGTAAACGTTGGTTGTTCAAAGGTAAATCAAATGGTATTAGGTATTAAATGAATAGGTTATTATAAACCATCATACACATGGGTTGACATTTATCCATTTGGCGTAAGTTAATTTTCATCATCCGGATTGTTTTGTCCGACTAATTTGAATGCTTTAATGAAATCAAATGCTTTAAAAATAATATCACAGAAAGAATCTTTCTTTTGGCAGTAACAGGAAGTTCTAATTAAATTACAAGTTATTTTCAATGTCCCCCAAAGAATACGGTGTCCTAATAACTGTGTAAACTGATACAACCCAAAGAGGTAAAACATCAAGCATCATTGCCATAAATCTCGTATTTTGGCTATCGTCACAGAATAATGTCACCAGCTTTTCAACAGAAGTATTCACAGTCAACTGTCCATAATCAATCTTGTCAGCAAGAGCATCCGGCTACCCAAGCCTCTTGCACATAAGCAATGCGGGAAACCTCACTTCTTTCCACCATCAGTTCTTTTGATGCAAATAATTACGGAGAGTGCTGGGATTACTCCTGATGTAATAGAGGTTGTACTTCCGCTGTACTACCGTAATATTTGAATCCTGTTTCCACTTGTGACGTCATCATGGCACCTTTCAGATTGTTTACTGCCTTATCAGCAGTGACTCAATTCGGAAGAAATTTATGGAGCAAGCAACTGCGTTATAAACTTTGAGCGTTATATTTGTGTTGTCAGATGCTATAAATTCGAGTGATCCCACGAAAACATATATGACGTCATTTAATGTTCTGATGATGCCATCTCCGGTTTTGATGTCGTCACTTCCGGATCTGATTACGTTACTTCCTGCGACTTTGACATGAGATATATAGAACTTAAGAGCACGGATCTGGCGAAGAAGACTGATTTGTTGCAGGCAAGAAGATGGATACTGTGTAAACTACTGTACATAACGTCTGATCTGGACTGGTGGAGAAGGTCTCGAGGTTTCGGCAATTTGAGAGATTATCCTGAAGTAGTGGAAAACATTCTGGGACTCTTTATGAGAGCTTGGTGTTCTGATACAAGCTAAAATACACAAGAAACTTGTTGAGACATGGCGAGCAAGTCCCGGTGAAGTTTGTCCCACACCAATTGAAAAAAAACAGGGCGAAAAGACCATTCTGTAACAACTATTCTCCAAGCAGGTCCTGATGGGCTAAAATTTCAAGAATCCTACTCATTAGGCTGCCGTATGGAGATTGTACTGCAAGAGCGGACATCCCCATATCAGAGACTACAACTAAATCTTCTCGGGGACCCACGCCCAACGGTCTATCCCGACCAATGGCCGTGTCTGTCTTGCGTCCATGGAGGGGTATTCTTCAGGGTCGTTCTGGGAAGTGGCGCTTGACCTCAAATCTAACTGTCCCCCTCCTGGCCGGGAGCTGCTTATGGGTCTCTACTAAACTGCAGACATAGAGGACAATATCCTCTGTGCAGCACCTAGTCCTGCCCCGGTGTTGTTCCACAATGACCATGAAGAGATCACTCTTGCAAGAAGTCGATTCAGATAGGGTTGGTAGCGCCATAACGATCCTAAATATGATGACCTTAGCGACTATGTAACGACGTGAAACTGAGGTAAACACAAAAATATACAATCTTCTTCAGCTGAACCATTTTCTTTTCTTAAACTGAATGTCACCAATTTCGTTGACACTTGCACAACATAATATTACTAGCACAACTGATTGTGGATAGTTGACAATGAAGAGGACTTCTGTTGACAATATGAAGAGTGTGACAACAGCCGAGATTATATAGGAAGTATTGCAATGATGTAATGGAGATGGGATATTCGCGGTAATTATGTATGTTTACATGTGTGAATTGTGATTAGAATATAGCTGTTAGAGGACAACAGACCAACTCGTTCCATATTCCAAACCTACAACATGTTTACTGATTGTTGTGTAACAATCGTTGCTTCTCTTGTAGGTAATCTTTCTGCTGATCATTTGTGTAGAGCTACAGAAACAGAAACATGCTCAAAGTGCCCAAAGTCAGAAACCACAACAATTCGATCATCTAATCCTACCGGCTTACAACATTCAGAAGCCTCTCCTTTCACGGACAGGTTTTCCACATCAGTCATCAGTGTTGAAGAAATGCCAAAGGAAGAAAATATCAAAAAGTGGTTGAAAGGTGTCACTCCTTTATCAGATTCTGGTTTAGGAACAGGCCATGATAATGAAACAGCCACATCATCAGTCGATAGTACATCGTATGATATCTCACGTTCAGGGCCCGATCAGGATCCATACCAATCTGACGCAGACACAGACTCTGGCGACAGTGCCTTCACAGGCGGCTATCGATTATTGAGAGAACCTCGCTTAGATGCGGACAGACCTGTCTCTGGTATCTCCTATGAAGGACGTGAATCGCCATGGAAGTAACAATAACCAGGGTAAACATATTGATCGGTGAAGCCAGTAATATAAAAAAACAAAGGGGTGAAGCCATTAATATAAACAAAAGGAGTATCACTGATCGAGGTCTTTCATTAGTTGATGGTATGCAGGGGTATGTAATAGCCTTCCTCACAGTTGATTGAAGGCTGGAGTCTTTTGATGTTGATAACTTCTTGAAGTTTTCTGATTAGGAAGTCTTTGAGTTTGGTGGTGAGGGCTTTGATTTTGTCCCACTGGATGCTGTTGCTTGGGTTGTCACGGACGTGGTCTTATAGAGCTGACTTAGAACCATCTTTGGAGACTGAGCTTTGATGTTCTTTAGTTTGGGTTTTGAGGGGCCTAGATGTTTCGCCAATATAAGCACAATTGCACGGAATTGCTGGGACTCTTAAAGAAACAGGCCAACGTCGATGTGGTTTTCAAGAGAAGTCACAGCATTCAGAACACCAATAAAGCCACAGGAAAACTACCACCATCCAGCCACAAGCTAAAACCATCAGGAACAGTGTACCACATTCCGTGCAATTATGGACAGGCTACAATTGGCGCAACATGTTATAAAAAAGTTGTTCTTCTACTAGTATCTTATTTGATAGTGATTCAAAGCACCTGCCTATGATATAGTTGGAATCATACAATGAACTTTTAGCAGAGATTTCTCATAATTATGGAAAAAGGTTTGTCGCTTTTATCTTCACCATGAACGGTTTTTAATGAATACAAGAATCAGAGGTTTAGAGTGTGAATTTAGATATAATAGCCCTGAACCTGGATACCGTAAGGTACATCCCGCGGAATTATATTTCCACCTCAAATAGTCACTACAGATTTTGTATCCTGGATCACTTTTCTGTTACACATTTACTTTTGTTTTCAAAGTGGCATCCTCATATTAAAGGAACCGAAATTGACTATCTAATGCAATGTAGCTTACAATAGCAACTGTTCATCTAACTTCCCTTTCTATTGCTTCCGCTCTTCCGCTGCTTCTCTGCGTGATGTGACCTGGAGGAACATACAGTATTCTTGTACCAGCTTTCAGTAGATGGTGGTGGTGTTCTTAGTATTTAATATAAAGAGATTTATGATACATATACTGCCACATTTCAAATACACGCATGTACATATTTGTTCACCCCACCAAGACACAATGAAATGTCAAGTTCGATTTACATAAAGATTCATATTCACTTGGACGTGTTGGAATAAAGAAATTGTGTTTATCTGTTACAATCACTATTACACAAATTGCGCCATTAAGGAACAAACTTATTGAAAGTATTGAAATATGTGAAGAAATGAACATTATGTTAATGTTATTGTTGTATGGTTGCGGATTTATTAAAACCAAATACCGGAATAATAACATGGGCAGTGGAGTAAGAATTTCGAAATGAGATTTTTATAACTCGACAGCAGTAGTATGTGTAAATGCCCCCTGTCGTCTATACTACTTCATATATGTGTAGGGGCACGGGTGGCCCAGTCGTCTAAGGCGCCGCGATTCGCTGTGCAGATTTGCGTCCCTTGGGCACGCCAGAAACCTATGATTTTGGGTTCGAAGCCCGGTTCGCCCTAATTATGTTTCTAGGTTTGTCAGCACCATACCCGTGCTCGTGGGTTCACCGAAGTGGTAAACGTCAGAGACCTGCATCACTTCGGGCTTTCCTCCCACATTTAGCTGACACGCCATAATATAACTGGAATACTGTTAAAAGCGGCGTTAAACCCAACTCACTCACTCACTCATATATGTGTATCACAAACTTCAGATAGTTGGAGACCGCTTCCAAAGTCTCAAGGATAGAGCGCCTGCCCGGAGAGTGGAAGGGCAGTGGGCCAATCTCCTGGCTGCGTCAGACTAATATACGTCGTATTAAGTTGATAAAACAAAGACTGATCGGATGGCAGGCAGTTTTGTGTGCCTGAGTGGGGTATCCATGTTAACTTGCGGCATTGCATCTCTTGGAGGTAAGGGCTAAAAAACCGGGTTGACTTATGCGCGCGCACGCACGCACACACACACAAGCAAGCACACACGCACGCACACACGCACACACGCACGCACACACGTGCATGTTCCTCGCCATATAAGTGCATTCATCTTGAAAGGGACACCGTTAAACCCCATTTCACCTCACCTCAGATGGAAGAAAAAATTGTTCTTCCTTGTATATATTTACATGTTTTATCTTAGTGTTTCAATAAAAAATGATGTTTACAGTGCAAAAGCAAATGGTACAGCAGACCGGGTTAAGACACTTTCACCAATGCGTTTCATTATTTTGTTTTAGTTTATGGTAAATCAATGTGTGGATTAGTTTCAAAAGTTCACCTCCCAGGGGGCTTGATAACAACAAAATGTTGCCTTCATTTTTACCTTGCCTTTATGGTTATAGACTACATATTTTGCATTAACCTAAATGTATTGTATGTGTTCTGAGTCCATTACGCTGAACAACGTCATAGATGATTGGCTGCTTAAAATGATACTAGTACGTTTTTCTGACGTTTGTGGTGGTTCTTAGACTTTCACACGCATTGCTAATAACGCCTTACATGAGAGAGTGAGTGAGTATGGTTTTACGCCGCTTTTAGCAATATTCCAGCAATATCACGGCGGGGGACACCAGAAATGGGCTTCACACATTGTACCCATGTCAGGAATCGAACCCGGGTCTTCGGCGTGACGAGCGAACGCTTTAACCACTTGGCTACCCGACCGCCCCACGCCTAACATGAATATCAGTCAGAATCAGTGTACATCAATAACCCTTGTACTACTTCACGAGAGCTTCTAATAAACTTCGAAAATGATAACAGACTTTGACATTAAATGGAGCCTGACCCTGAAGTTATGATTGGTAGAAATATATATATTAAATGACGAGAATTTTCAACTAGACAATCGGGCCATCGTTATGGAAAAGTTACAAACCAAATTTAAAAGTCACTGATAGGTAGCTATTTTGACAATTGTGATAAATTAGGAAGGAAAGAGAGATATTAAACAAGACTTTTGGCATCTACTAATGTCATATGACAGGGTTATCCATCTCAGGCAACTTTAGAAATTCTGTCATGCATAATGTTGATTATGTCACGTCAGTAATTTCGTTGTGTACAATTCACATGGCGTTCAAAGTGTAACAATTTCTTTATGTGGTCTATCAAATCAATTTCGGTCGCTTCAATTATTAATACCGTGTGTTTGTTCACTAATTTCTCAAAGATATACACACAACTGCGAATTAATTCCTCCTTGAATGTGTTTTTGCTTTGTTCGCAATTGTTTTACTTCTATCGTTTAGTATTGTCTTTTGGTATTGTGATGTGCTGATGAAGTTTTAACGTTTACCGTTATTTGTGGTTATGATGTATTTTAGACTTTTTGTACAACACTATCATGCAAAGTTGATATGAAACCATCTAAATGCTAACTTATACCTGTACTTGAAATCATAACAGTGGCGTTTGAGCTGAACTTCAACGTTTAACGTTACATCTCACTGGAATCGATTCTGAATGTTTTTGGGGTTTTTTTATTTTTATTTTTTATTCCCATCATTTCAAATACAAAGTATACATGGAACATATTACATTAAGATCAGCATGGTATATATTCAAATCGCCTTGTTGTACATTCAGTAGTTTGTTTCTCTGGTACATCTGGTAGATCTGGTAGATCTATATATAAGGTTTCTATACAGAATAACAGACAAATTGTAGTATTAAATCATATCTTGGTATTCTTGAATAATGTGTGGAATGAAGACCAAAAAGAGAAAAATTTAGCTTGTTTACAATTTGAGAAAGCAATAGATCTTGTAGCTTCATAATATTTAATTATTTCCCACTTCTCTTGTTTAAAATGTTGAATTGATTTCTTTCTCATTTGTTTATAAATTACAAATTTTGCAATTTAAAATGTAATATTTAATGGGTTATTGTTTTTTCCTTTAAATCCAAATAAAAGATTCTGCATGTTGTTCCTTAACAATCACAACTTCAACTGAACTGAAACGGTTCAAGAATTGTGTCATCACTAGATACGGATTTTCAAATTGATTTTTAAAGTTGGATCCCACGACGACTACTTTAAAAAAGCTAATTCTGTTTCTACTTTAGTTATGTTTTCATTGTGTAAACTTTGATATGAGTATAGTATCTATGTTATTATATGAGCGTTTTCATTTTGACCTGGTTTGGGATCACGGTCTGTCATATGCTGAAGCCGAGGGACGATATGCCAAATCGAGGACCTACACAGTCCAATATTAAACACCAACACCAATATTATAACACTTGTATTGTGCTTGCTTGAAACGGGATTTACTTTTCTAATTAATAAAATGTGAATACATGTAAGCTTTTAAGTTTGTGTTAGTTTTAATATGAGCGAACATTGTCACAATGCTGTCATTGATCACATGACTCCGTTTTGATTTCAATCACGTCTGGAAGTGTGAACATTATAGATTGTACTGAGTGAGTGACTGAGTTTGGTTTAAGTGGCTTTGAACAGTATTTCAGTTAATCACGTCGTGTCAGCTTTATATCTCACAAAGTTCAGAAAATCCTCTATATTTCATAACGCCCGAGTGCAAGGATGAGTTATTGTCGCCGCAACATATGTTCTAATGATGTTTGTCGGTTTTCCAGAACACTGAGCAAGTAATCGAATATTTGTAATGCGGGCATCACTTCATTCCGAAAAATATGTCATTTCAGAATGAATTGTTTAATCAAATCACATTAAGCTCCTACTTGTAGACAACAACATTTTATCGAAGTCTTGTCTCTCTCCCTAGTATACCCACTTTTCACACCTTCGTGTGCTGAGTTATTGAGTGACATACGAATAATAATAATAATTAGTCGATTTTAAAATTATATAGAACATGTTTTTGACAAAATATGCTTTGTCGATGATAACTTTTAATAATGTATCATATAATAATTCATAAGTTTATTGCATGAACTGACTAATTTAGCTATTCATGCAAATGACAAACGGGTGCGAAACCAAGTATTGTATTATGAAGGGTTAAAAACAATTCAGTCTGACGAGAGACTTCATCCTCTCACAGATTTTGCACAAATTGCAGTTCGCAAAAGAGATTTATATCATCATATGTTGTCATCAGTTCTTGGAAAACACTCGTGAAATTGACTTATTTCTATGTGTAGTAATAATCAGTCTTGAGTTTTCAAATTATGTTGAATTCTGAAATTCAAACACTATAATATATACGGCTAGGTATCAGACCCAGGAAACTGGACTATATATATATATATATATATATATATATATATATATATATATATATATATATATATATATATTGAATTCTGAAGTTCAAACACTAATATATATATTAGTATATATATATATATATACTAGCCACATAAAGAAACTGTGCACGGAGAAAATATAGATATAAGGGCACACCGTCTATATATGAAATATAAGTTTGAACACAGCAATTATTGGAGACATTCAAACGCTCATGCACGTGCCATGCGATATGACGTAATTGATGGGGGCCTATGGACGTGCAATGTGTTACTGCACGTGCATCCTGTGCAGCTGTACACAGCATGTGCAACTCAACATTCGCTGTCACTTTGGAAAGCATGATCTGTGGTCATTCAAAAATTCAAAACTTCTCAGGCGCAGACACACGCATATCACAAGCAAATCATGCCAAGATTGACAGCTGCACAGCGTCATGAAGCCACTGGAATGATCCGAGCGGGAATGAGGCAACAACAGGTGGCAACACATTTCCAGTGCCATCATAACACGATATCGGCATTGGTGAGGCGTTATCAGAACACAAATGACGTTGCCGACCACCCACGTTCAGGACGTCCCCGAGTAACGACGCCAAGACAGGACAGATGGATTCGAGTTACACATCTCCGACACCGGTTCCATACGGCAGTAACGACGTCCCAGACAATTCCTGGACTGCGCCGTATCCATCCCAACACTGTCAGGAATCGTTTACGTCAGTACGGGATTCGACAACGACGCCCTGCCATACGTCCCATCCTGACACACCGTCATCGAGTCAACCGTCTAAGATGGTGTCGAAATCATGTTCGCCAACCTCGAATATGGTGGAGAAATGATGTCTTTACAGATGAAGCGAGGTTCAACATTTCCCACAGTGAAGGGCGCCAACGTGTCTACCGGCGTTTGGGAGAACGTTATGCACGCAACTGTTTTGTGGAGAGGAATCGTTTTGGAGGTGGCTCTGTGATGATTTGGGGTGGGATAACAGCACGGCACCGAAGCCCTTTGGTGGTTGTTCAGGGCAATCTCACCGGTGTTGGCTACAGAGATCAGATTCTGAGGCCTGTGGTCATTCCTTTCCTGCAACGTCATGGCCCGGGATTGACATTTCAACAGGACAACGTTCGTCCTCACACGGCTAGGGTCGCAATGGATTCCCTTCACCATAACAATGTCATGTTACTGCCATGGCCTGCAAATTCTCCAGATCTCTCCCCAATAGAGCATGTACATGTTTTGGATGAAATGGAGCGCCGTCTGCGTCGTCTTCCACATCCTCCAGATAACGTCCGTGACTTGGCACAGGATTTGAGGAGGATATGGCAGGCCATTCCCTAGGCCTTCCATGCCCATTTGGTGGACTCCATGCGTCGCCGATGCACTGCTGTGATTCACGCACAGGGTGGTCATACCCGTTATTGACTTTGTGACTTTGTCGTTTGACCCCCTACTCCATTTTGATCTTCTGACGTCATCGTAACAGATGTTGTTCAGGTCCCGTTGACATTTTCTTATGATCCGATCATTCAGTTGCTACAGTGTCTGCATCATTTTGTTCTTGCTGTGTTGTATTTCAATCCAGAATATATTTTCTCCGTGCACAGTTTCTTTTTGTGGCTAGTATATATATGCATAGTCCAGTTTCCTGGGTCTGATACCTAGCCGTGTCGCAGGGGTCATTGTATTGTACTGAATCTGAGATTCGATCCCACAACCAAAGTCTTCCTGCTTGCCCAAAGGACATCAAAGACGACTGGGTCTCTGACATGAAGTAATTTTGTGGCGAAATACGTACTGAAATCGGACAAATGATGCTGATTATCTATTAATGCATGAAGATTGAGTGACAAAAGGTTCCCCACAAGACTGTATGACAAGTAGAAAAACTTCAACTTTCAAATAATCATTGTTCCCTTTATGTCGAGAAATATTCCAACAACTCTAGCCTTTGGTGTCGATATTTCACAACCTTTGGAGATACAATTGAGCATGCTATTTTTAGCTGAGATTTCAAAGGGCCTCATGCGATTCTTGTTCAAAAGTTGTTTGATCGGAGTTTCAACATTCAAATCCTCAGTAAAGCTTTCAAACCGTGTTAGGGTAGGCATGCGAATGACATATCCAAATTAGGCGCATCAATGACAAAATGATGTCTGATGCAATTCCCTATAAAGGTTGAAATTGCAATGGACTCCCCTTTAAGTAGATATTTGTAATGAATATAGAAAAAGGTTTTGTCGTTTTTATTTCCAAAAGAATTCAGAATATATGGTCATTAATAAACAATGTCAGTCGCGGATTCATACAGTTTGCACATCGGTTTTTCGACCCCAATGAACGGGGGGAAAATACACAGTCAATCCTTAATTGATTTTAGATATAAACTATGAAGTCATTGAGTTTTACCATGGACAGCTTCGTGTTTTCATTACTCTATAGTTTCACATAACTCAGGCTTTTATGAAGTTGCACCCTGTATCAAATTTTCTGAAGAAAAGAGTTTTGTTAACGAAGTTATTTAAGAATAAAAAAAACCCGAAATTGACTATCTAATTACATTTATTGTCACTGTGCAATGACAACTGTTATTTGGCTACCCTTTAATTGGATTCCTCTGCATCACTGATCCTGTACTTTTCAAACAGCTGTTGGGGGTATATTATTCTATCAATGTCATGTGTCAATGTTTCCAAGAGATACATGTAGATTCAAAATATATGGAAATACAGAAGGAGCGGTGCCTGACACTTTTCCAGGTACATATGTTGTTACATGTAAGTAGTTTTTGTGTAAATATTTGTTCAGTAGATGTCATCGGCTTCAACATTTTGAAATACTAGGAACAACAAGTGTTGTCGTAGCCAGATTTAAACCACAGTCAGCCACGGCGGTGAGTGTAACTTTCCAGCCATGTTATATGCGCACAACCAAAGTGTTTAGAATGGAAAATTGGTATAGGTACTGTAATAAATCAATTACGGGCGCTTCAATAAGTAAGTTTTCTAAACTGTTACTTGGGCTCCTCGTGTTTGTCCACAAATCGTCTTTTTTCTATTGTTTGCGATATTCTTTCTTGTATTTTTTTCTAATTTGAAACTCTGATTCATATTATTGCACATATGTCGATAGTGTTCTTAAGTTGTACCGTTTGTTCATGGTTATTCATACCGCCTCCGTGGTCTAGTGGTAGAGTGTCCGCCCGGAGAGCGGAAGGTGCGGGGTTCGATCCCCGGCCGCGTCATACCTAAAGACGTTAAAAGATGGAACTTGTTGTTACCCTGTCTGGCGCTCGACATTAAGGGGTCTATATCTGGGTGGGGTATTCATGTTAAACTGCGCTATGGTATCTCAGTGTATTAGCACTATAAATTGGCATCAGTCCGGACTAGCACAATCAGCCACACACAAACACACACGTACATGTACGTCGCTATACATGTGCAATAATCTTAGACGCGACGTCAAACCCAATTTCACTTCACCGCACCTCATGGTTATTTAATATTTTAGGGACCGCCTCTGTGGTCTTGTGGTAGAGCGTCTGCACGGAGAGTGGAAGGTCCGGGGTTTTATCCCCGGCCGCGTCATACCAAAATACGTTAAAAGATGGTACTTGCTGTTACCCTGTCTGGCGGTAAAAAGGGGTTAAAACAAGGACTGGTCAGCTCGGAGTCAGTATTCTGTGTCTGAGTGGGGTATTCCTGCCAAACCTCAGCCGTAGATTACATTCTTACTTTCAAAAGAAAAAGATTGCTATATGTTCTTTAGTCAATACAAACCAAATATACATATATGAACTGTGATTATGTCAGGACAGTGTGATTTGTTTATTTGTCCTTTAACGACACCCTCAGAAATAGTCCAGCTATATTATGACGGTTTTTATATAACCCTGTCTGGACCAGACAATTAAGATCCACATCATGAGCCTCAATGACGCAATTAAGATACGATAACATGCATCATCCAAAACCACCGACTCTAACCAACTGTAGACCAACTGTAACCCGGATATTCATAGAGACTATACAGGTGACCCTGGTTAATCCGGACGATAAAGTTCCAACTGAAGTCGTCCGGATTCACGCATGTCCGGAATAACGAATCATGGTAATGAAGTGATGTCCCTTTACATTCATGTGTGCGTCTCAAGCAGTAACTGTTAAAAGTGGGGTTTAAGGATTTTACGGGGTCCGGATTACCGAGGTGTACATACACTGACTACAATAACCATCTCGATTGATTCCAAAATAAGAATTTATACATTATGATCTATTTTACGTGTATGAACAGTTCAGGCCTTTGGAAAATGCATCAAGACATCAAAAACACATTCTGAATTATACCTTTTATCTTTTGTACATCAAATACAAAATCATGGTTTTTTTTACAAATTCATCTTTTTACTGAGGCCATTTCAAAATTGTTACCCAACTCAATGATTCACTGATTGCAATTCTACAATACTGTAAAGTGTTATCCATAAAATTGTGTCTACCTTGTCACCCGTCAACTTCTTACCAATGCCTATCAAACAATTTAATGCTCTCGTAAAATCTTTCATTGTGCAGGTCCAACCAGAAAACACTCCCTTCATGGTGTGTCGGCGAAGATGATGTGATAATGTGAGTGAGTGAGTATGGTTTTACGCCGCTTTTAGCATTATTCCAGCAATATCACGGCGGGGGACACCAGAAATGAGCTTCACACATTGTACCATGTCGGGAATCGAACCCGGGTCTTCGGCGTGACGAGCGAACGCTTTAACCACTAGGCTACCCGACCGCCCTGTGAAAATGTGGCACTGATATTGAAGAGATAAATGAATTAAATTAGATTGGATGAAAGCAGTTGATCCCGGGGCGTTGAAGTTAGGTCGAATTGCTGACGACGAATTATCAATCTGACACCAAGGCTCGGAGGGGCGGTCGGGTAGCCTAGTGGTTAAAGCGTTCGCTCGTCACGCCGAAGACCCGGGTTCGATTCCCGACATGGGTACAATGTGTAAAGCCCATTTCTGGTATCCCTCGCCGTGATATTGCTGGAATATTGCTAAAAGCGGCGTAAAACCATACTCACTCACTCCAAGGCTCGGAGCGGACACCCATAATTCACACGCACACTTAATCCGTAACCCATTACCGCCCGTAGGTTATTCTCCAATAGTCCTCACTGCCTCCAATAACTGTATATTTGCAATACTATCAGTGCGGCAATGCTGAACACGAGATCTCTTGGCATCAAGCAAGCACCGACTGGTAAGAAAATAAGCACTACCAGGCCCAGTAGTATCTGCCGCTCAGGTATGTCTAGAGGTCGTGGTGTACTGTTGGGGATATCTACATCGTGTGGCCTCTGAAAATATTAAAATACAGTACACTACGGTTATAATGAACTCAAAGGGACTACTAATTTTAGTTCGTTATAACCGTAATTCGTTATAAGCATATATACAGCATAACTACAGCAAATAGTCGGGACTAAAAAGTTAGTTCGTTATATCCGTCAGTTCGTTATAAGCGTGTTCGTTATAACCGTAGTTTACTTTTTAGACTTTCGAATTGTAAATAAATATATGATTTACATATGCATGTATTACAAAGAGTGAGTGATTCGAGTTTAAGGTCTATTTGAACAAATATGAAACCCATCAACGCTATTTCATGCAGTTTGTAACCAACCATACGGGTAAAGTGAAACACATAGAATGCATCTCTTCATACGTAAGTTTAAAAAAAATACTGCATTACCTCTGCCAGAGACGAACGTCGGGTAGTGTTATCTGAAACACCAACACATTGATTACACAGTGGAAGAATTGTTTAATAAGCATCTCTTAGGAGTTGGCGAATGGATCAGCCACCTCGGACCATATCAGCAACTGGCCCAATCACAACATCAACTTGCAAAAACGTCCAAATCCTCCCAAACAACCTCCATGACTTCACTAACAGAAGCTGTCCACATTCGACGCCACAAGCCATCAATCAACAGAGATCAAGGCTATTTCATCCCATCCGCCTACTGTGAACTCATTTAGCAGTAACCACACATAATTGCGTACATATGTCGATACGTTGATCAGTAAAAATCTGAACACGGTAGTATGTTTTCGTCTTCCTGGTGAACTAAAAAATGTTTTCACTTTTATTGAGCGATTAGTTTGTTGAGCACTCCATATACCACGATCATGACCTACTTTGCTCACGCAATACCGAACACAGCAGCGTGTTACCACATACACGTAGTTGTTGTTCCGGCAGCACGTGCACCAAGACCCTACCCTACCAACCTACCTACCTCACCCTCTGACACCCACCACCCCCCACCCCCACTCCCCACCCCCACACCATACACACACACACACACTCACCACACACACACACAAACGCACTCACCACACACACACACAACATACATACACACTCACCACACACACACACTCACCACACACACACACACACCATACACGCTCGCCACACACACACACACAAAAACTGACCTACCTACCCCACACCATACACACACACACACTCACCACACACACACACAAACGCACTCACCACACACACACAACATACATACACACTCACCACACACACACACACCATACACACTCACCACACACACACATACAAAAACTGACCTACCTACCCCACCCGCTCACACACACATAAAAGTATTTTATTTGAACTTATTTAGAACAGTTTAATACAAAAGACTCTCACACACACACACACACACACACACACACACACACACACACACACACACACACACACACACACACACACACACACACACACACACACACACACACACACACTAGCGCGATACAGAGTTGTGTCTGTCAGCAAATGTATCGCGACCCTGACCTACCTACCCCACCCGCTCACTCACACACACACTCACAAACACACACTCTCACACACACACGCACACACACGCACACACACGCACACACACACACCAACTGGTGGCTCTACAATCGATCCTGGAAATTCCTACCTAGTTCGGAAAGGCTGGAAACTGGCCTTTATAGTGACTTAACGCCCTTGCCTCAGGAAGATGACACTAGCGCCATACCACATACACATAGTTGTGTCGTTGCATCATGTGCATGTCGACCCTCTCTCACTGGCCCCGACACTCACACATTGAGACAACTCACGCACACACCAAGGCCTTTCATTCTCACCATCTTCAGTTTCCTGTATAACATTTGTCGTTGGAACGGTTTTCATGGATGTATGGCACTCAGAACCTGGAACCATCTTTACAGGCGTCGCGCCATTGGAGGTCATCTTTCCTTCCTCAACTGGATAACGTTCACTGAAAAACACGCTGTCAACAGTATCGACGGATGATGCGCTTCCTATCCCAGATGAAGACGATATCAAACTTCTGCTAGAGCTCGTCTCAACGTGTTCAGACTGGGCACTGGTTGAGGATTCCGACACATCTGATTTCTTTGCAAGGAGTTCGCACGTTACAAGAGTACCACGAGACTTTGCCCTGCGAAGGGGAATGGCAGGCATAATAGATTTTGCAGCCTGAAATGACATGTAGTTTGTAGAGCAGGGTTCTTCTTCAGTTGAGGAACGCTTTATTTCCGGACCACACACACAGCTTATTTGGCCATTGAAACCTGGTTTCCCGAGCTCGTATGCGATTCGTGGACTGTATTTGCCTACAAGCTCAATAAGTTTCTTTCTGCCACGTATATTTTCCTGGAAATTAAGCGAAATCAAGAGCACCCGCCACTTAATTTTCTGATCCACTGGCTTCTGAATGTTCCGGAACATCCTGTCGGATAGATGTCCCGCCGTGTGGAGAGGTGTTGCTACTGGCAAAATGTCAACTGTGGATGTCAGTTCACACATGACACATGTGGTATCCATTTTATGTCGTGCTCTGCAAAATGAAAATGATTTCATCAATCATCAGCCAGATTGGATATACACGTTTGTATTGACGTCGCCCTTAAATACACGAGGGGCGGTCGGGTAGCCTAGTGGTTAAAGCGTTCGCTCGTCACGCCGAAGACCAGGGTTCGATTCCCGACATGGGTACAATGTGTGAAGCCCATTTCTGGTGTCCCCCGCCGTGATATTGCTGGAATATTGCTAAAAGCGGCGTAAAACCATACTCACTCACTCATTCACTTAAATACACGAAATACGCCTACATCTGTGCAAATGATAACATTCAAAGAACATTGGTTATGCATTGCTGACATATGTGATGTGCATATAACGCCTGTATTACTTGAAGCTGTGATGAAAGACAAACTGCATCCATATTGCTGACAGCTGCCATGTTCAACTGTATTGCTGAAATATGTGATTTACATGCGACTGTATTGCTGAAATATGTGATGTATATACATGTACGCCTGTATTGCTGAAATATGTGATGTATATACGCCTGTATTGCTGAAATATGTGATGTATATACGCCTGTATTGCTGAAAGATGTGATGTATATACGCCTGTATTCCTGAAATATGTGATGTATATACGCCTGTACTGCTACATATGTGATGTATATACGCCTGTATTGCTGAGTTATGTGATGTATATACGCCTGTATTGCTGAAATATGTGATGTATATACGCCTGTATTGCTAAGTTATGTGATGTATATACGCCTGTATTCCTGAAATATGTGATGTATATACGCCTGTATTGCTGAAATATGTGATGTATATACGCCTGTATTGCTGAAATATGTGATGTATATACGCCTGTATTCCTGAAATATGTGATGTATATACGCCTGTATTGCTGAAATATGTGATGTATATACGCCTGTACTGCTAAATATGTGATGTATATACGCCTGTATTGCTGAAATATGTGATGTATATACGCCTGTACTGCTAAATATGTGATGTATATACGCCTGTATTGCTGAAAAATGTGATGTATATACGCCTGTATTGCTGAAATATGTGATGTATATACGCCTGTATTGCTGAGTTATGTGATGTATATACGCCTGTATTGCTGAAATATGTGATGTATATACGCCTGTATTGCTGAAATATGTGATGTATATACGCCTGTATTGCTGAAATATGTGATGTATATACGCCTGTATTGCTGAGTTATGTGATGTATAAACGCCTGTATTCCTGAAATATGTGATGCCTATACATGTATATGCGACGCCTGTATTGCTGAAATATGTGATGTATATACGCCTGTATTGCTGAAATATGTGATCTTTTTGCGACGCCTGTTTTGCTGAAATATTTGGTGCTTATGCGACGCCTGTATTGCTGAAATACGTGATTAAACTGCGACGCCTGTATTGCTGAAATATGTGATGTATATACGCCTGTATTGCTGAAATACGTGATCTTTTTGCGACGCCTGTTTTGCTGAAATATTTGGTGCTTATGCGACGCCTGTATTGCTGAAATACGTGATTAAACTGCGACGCCTGTATTGCTGAAATATGTGATGCATATGCGACGCCTGTATTACTAAAATTTGTGATCTGCATACGACTGTATTACTGAAATGCGTGATCTGCATACAAAGGCTTATCACTGAAATATGAGCTGTGCAAGTGACCGGAGTGTTTTCAAGGTGAATAGAATTAACAAAACCCTTTCCTAACCACAGGAAATCTCCACACAAAGGACAGTCGATGGCCCAATTCTGCCTAAGTCATACGCATGTGTTTATGAGTCACTATCAAATAGTCTTGATACCAGGGAGCCACGACTATAGCTGCGTAGTTCATACCTGGTGCAATTGAAATAGGCTACAGTGCATGTTCGATGTCATATCATTCAACATAACCATGTCCAGTAGGTCCTGAAAGAGGTCATTCACTACCTGCCGTATATGTACCGGTATTATGTACGTTATTACCTACTTCGTCATCATCAACGGGGCAGTCGGGTAGCCTAGTGGTTAAAGCGTTCGCTCGTCACGCCGAAGACCCGGGTTCGATTCCTGACATGGGTACAATGTGTGAAGCCCATTTCTGGTGTCCCCCGCCGTGATATTGCTGGAATATTGCTAAAAGCGACGTAAAACCTCACTCACTCACTCGTCATCATCACAATGTAAAACGGATTTCGTTTACTCACATGATGTACCAAAGGCGTTTGACACATACCTAATATCTCCGTCGTGTGACTCCCACCCGTATTACGATGTTCACTCTTACTTCCAGCACGTACATGTATATGCTCTCTTATTTAGGTCAACTTACATTCACTATATTTAGCCGTTACCTCTGTGTGTATTCAGTATGATCGGTAACACCCCACACGATATCTGTACATACATGCAGCATAATGCAACACAAGTAGCGGCCTTGTGGTGGGGGGCCTGTCAAGGCTTTACCTACTTTAAAATAGACGTGCGTCTCCCTTAGTGTGTATGTGCTACATGTGTCTACATTTGTATACTCGGGTTTGTATTAAGCTCCTTGAAATTATGTGGGAGCGATAACTCACTCACTCACTCACTCACTGTCACGGTTTTTATTTCCCTTGTCAGATATTTAATATGTATAATGTCTGACAGTGTGTGGAATATGTACAATTCCTGACACTGTGTGGAATATATATATATACATATATCATCCATGAGAGTGTGTGGAATATGTATATTATCCCTGACACTGTGTGCAATATATACATACATATATTATCCATGAGAGTGTGTGGAATATGTACAATTCCTGACACTGTGTGCAATATATATATATATATATATATATATATATATATATATATATATATATATATATATATATATCCTGACGTCGGGAAGTGACCCTTGGTCTTCCACTACGAGGTCGGTCATCTGTCTGACAGTGTGTGGAATATGTACAATTCCTGACACTGTGTGGAATATATATATATATATATATATATATATATATCCTGACGTCGGGTAGTGACCCTTGGTCTTCCACTACGTGGTCGGTCATCTGTAGTGTTGGTGGTCTGGTACCGTTGCTGGAGCCTGTACATGGTCCTTATGTGGACTTGAAATGCATTTGGCTACTTGCCGGGTGCTTTTTCCAGCTTTCAATCGTCCAAGGGCTTGGTGTCGGTGATTTCATGTCAATCTTGGCATGTGGTAGCAATTCAATAACGACTGAATTTTATCCGATCTGGGTGGATTTTTACAGGGCAAGAAGTTGGGGAACGCATGTGCATTTTAATTTGCACGGAACTCACGTGCATCGGGTTACCATGGCCGTTGCCGTGATCGGTTTTATTGTCATCTACTTTTTTCATCAAATTTCATTTTTCCGGAAAAGGTTATGTTAAACTTTAGAAACTTTGACAAAAATTACCCAGATATTTAAATGACAACTTTTCATGCAATGCTACTGGGGTTGACGTTTCTTTTGCGGACTTAGTATATTATCCATGAGAGTGTGTGGAACATGTACAATCCCTGACAGTGTGTGCAATATATATTTTTCCATGAGAGTGTGGAATATTATATTATCCCTGACACTGTGTGCAATATATATATATACATGTATATAAATGAGAGGACTGCATGTAATACATATCTGCGTTGTATGCTTCACTCACTCACTCACTCACTCACCCTCCCTCAATCATTCTCTCTCTCTCTCTCTCTCACACATACATACACACTCACTCACTCACTCACTCACTCACTTAGTCTGTCATACAGTCCCTGAAGCAAATACATCCAATACAGACGTTTCAAGTCTATAATAATGAGCAAGTCTAGATTACTGCAGGTTCAGATATGGAAATGAAGAGTGTCTCTGGGCTCCTTTTTATTATATTTTATTAAATTTAACAACTATTTTAATCTGTAAATTATGTGCATTTCAGGGACTAGATGTCAGTCTGCATTGACCAATGAACGTTTGGTTTCTGGTTCCTTGCTTGACATGCACAACGCAGATCTTAGTAGCAACAACAAATCATAAGGAGGCCTCGCGATACCATTGCTGTAATTTCCCTGTCGTGTAAGAATTTTCAGTACCCACAAAAGAATGTGTTCTTGACAAGGTCTGAACATGTTCTCGAAGCAAAGCGGATTGCTTTCATACTTTACAAGTTAATATTTTGGCAAAGTGTGAGAGTATAGTTTTTTGTCGAATGGGAAAACCAGGCTTCAGAAAGGATATCTACATTGTGTTTGAGAAATCGGACCCGAGTCTTTGACATGGTAAGAAAACGATTTAAGCATATCTGTACCATTGTTCTGTGTTGTTTGGGGATGTGACTTAAAGATGATGCAGATGAGCTATGTTTAACAGAAACAGATAGGAGTGCATGTCATACATATCTGCGTTGCATGCTCCCCTCCCCCCCCCCCCCCCCCCCCCCCCATCCCTCCCTCCCTCCCTCACTCACTCACTCGTCGTCACTGTATCGCATTGAAAATACACTTTCAGAATTCCATGCAGTATAAAATACCCCACGCCAAGAGGAAATTTGATTATTTTCTCGCGGAAAATATTTCCTTATACATATGAATAATTGATCAGTTTGTTTCAATACACTAAATGAAGCATTCCAACACAAAACGATGAATAATAAAGAGTATTCAATTTCCCTGCCAGTCACTCGGTTTAATAGACTGAGATTTTGAAAGTGAAAGTGGGAAATACATTCAGAAATCACCAGTGATACAATATGGTATTACATCTGATATAAACCGTGGTTGGATTTGAGGAGTGAGTGAGTGAGTTGGGTTAAATGCCGCTTTGAACAGTGTTCCCGTTATATCGCGGCGTGTTAGCTTATTGTGGGAAGAAGACACTAAGTTAAGTACCGACTTCTGCCACTTTGATTAAACCTACGAGCATGGGTATGGTGCTGAAAAGCTTGGCAACCAGGATTCGAACTCTCGATCATTGGTTTCTGGCGCGCACAAGGGACGCAACTCAGCACACATTTTCAAACTCAGGAAAAAATGATGATAATTCTATGTGTCAAATATAAGGTTCTCCTGAACATGGGACGCATTCAGGTGTGGTTCACGGGTTTACTGATGAAAACAGTAGGCTCGACAATCTACCAAGAAAGCATAACAGGTACATAAATATATTTTGGCTGATAATTTGTTGGTTAATTTCATTTACAAGCAATTTAGTAATACTCTTTACGCTTTTAGTAATACTATATGGTCCGTTAGTAATACTCTATGTGCTTTTAGTAACACTGTATTTAAGAAATACAGGACGAGTGGTAGCTGTTCATCCTACAATAAAACACTGCAGTGAGAATAAACCATGAGGGGCGCAGACCTAAGTGGTTTATTCTCCCTGCAGCACATATTCAATTCTCCAGAAATGACGTGAAGACAAAACAATGTTTCACCGTGAAATAAACCATGCTTCGTCCTTCATCGGAAAATCGGAGTATTGGATACACTAGTTACGAAGTAGCTAGACAATCACGGGAAGGTTGGTCATCCAAGGATTACTAGAAAAAACTGAGTATTGCAAAACCTAGTTACTAAGTTTAGTTCAGTACCGATCGAACCGTGTACAGAAACCACTTACTAAAGAAACCAAAGTTTCGAACGGGACACCTCGTAGCACACTGACCGAACGACGATGAAGATGTTTGAGATTAAACGAGCGCTTCCGGATGTGCCGATCTAAAGACTCCAGGGCCCACTTGCACAAAGCGATCTTAGCGCTAAGATGATCGTAACTCCCATACTTTAACATAGGCTTACAACAGTTGTAGTGCTAAGATCGCTTTGTGCAAGTGGGCCCAGATCTAGGAAAAATCTGTCACATACAGCGTGCGGACGTCGGAGAGGTCATTCTCTCCTGGGCCGCCGGGAAATACAAGACTTGGGCGCTAAGCTAACGTGTGTTTCTAAACACGGGGAAAACAAGAATAGCAAACTAACTACTACTTCCATTCTGACAATGTAATTATGAAAATAAAGCGCTGAACGCAAGCTTTCCACAGGTGTCATTAAAGATTTACTACAAGCTATGTTCAATTATGAGAAATATCTGGGTGTGCATATAAATTCCACTAACGTTTGGAAATCAAAGTTACAATACAGGAATAAGGTAGCGACCATATACGATATAACGTGCATCAAGTCAATACATGGTTTGGGCGAGCTATTAAATTACAAGAGAATGGAATAGTCGGGCCACTAATTCCTTAACACAAAATGGGATGACAACGACGACCGCCGGACTTTGCCGAGCGGTTCCGAAAATAAAGCCTGGGAGCAGAGTGGACACTAGACCGTGATAAGGTAAAATTTGACCTACGGTGACAATGCCTTAATAATACTCGTCAGATTGTTTTATTGCGGGGAAATGACCCAGAGTCTTTATTAGACAAGAGTGGGCTTTAACCATTACCCATCCACCTATGATTTGCTTGAATTATATCTCTTCGTCAGTGTGTTGGGGTGGTCGGGTAGCCTAGTGGTAAAAGCGTTCGCTCGTCACGCCAAAGACCCGGGTTCGATTCCCGACATGGGTACAATGCATGAAGCCCATGTCTGGTGTCCCCCGCCGTGATATTGCTGGAATATTGCAAAAAAGCGGCGTAAAACCAAACTCACTCACTCACCCACTCAATGTGTGTGACTGTTTTTCAAAGTGATGAGGATTGCGTTTAGTTAGGTTTAAAAGAAGAGAGGAGCTCAATACTTCATATTTGTCATTTGCTGCTGAAACTCTTTGTGGCTCTTTGTTTGCATCAGGGAAAGGTATTAAATGGTGATAACGTTTTGAATTCGCGACTCTGCATTATGCCACTCTCTGTTTCCGTGAACATCCACGACATGCAATATCAGTGTTAAGTGAAACCAATGAACTACCAGTTAAAATGTAAGGGCAATTTTCTAGCCCTCGACAAATGCTGACGCTGTGGAAGTGAAAGTGGAAAATACATTCAATTCTTTGGAGAGACAAAAGCAAAATTATTTCCTTAATCATAAATTATATAACGTCAAAGCTAGAGTACAACCACCCTCGATTATTGGAAATTTGGAAACACTCGACCTCTCAGAAAACATTATAAATGCGTGCGTGCGTGCGAGCGTGCGTGCGTGAGTGAGTGAGTGAGTGAGTGAGTGAGTGAGTGAGTGAGTGAGTGAGTGAGTGAGTGAGTGAGTGAGTGAGTGAGTGAGTGAGTGAGTGAGTGAGTGAGTGAGTGAGTGAGTGCGTGCGTGCGTGCGTGCGTGCGTGCACTTTCTCATCTCATCATTTATTCACGAAGTATAGGCCATCGGTCGTCGGCCGATTACACGTTGCAAGAGTGCTACAGCCAATTTTTCACATTTCTTTAATTCTTTTCTCAAATTATTAGCAGAGTGAATAAACAATGCCCTTTTTCTAAAGTATTCCAATTGTCCTCAGACTATAACATGTTAACTTTGTGTAAACTAGGAAACATATAATACTTTTTGGGGACATACAATTGTCGCAGGTGTTCATATGCACTACATATCAGTATATTTTCAATGTCATTCACTTTCAACATATCCGTACCTACACATATCACATAGTCTTTGGTTAACTGGCATGCCCACGTATCTATACCAGTTTCTATTTTTAGACGATGTGAGCAACATCTTAACCTTGCCAAAGTGAGTGATTGAGTGAGTGAGTTGGGTTTAACGCCGCTTTTAACAGTATTCCAGTTATATCGCGGCGTGTCAGCTTAATGTTGGAGGAAAGCCCTAAGTGATGCAGGTCTTAGACGTTTACCACTTCGGTGAAACCCATGAGCACGGGTATGGTGCTGACAAACCTAGAAAAATGATCGGGGCGAATCGGGATTCGAACCCACAATCAGAGGTTTCTGGCATGCCCAAGGGACGCAACTCTGCACAGCGAATCGCGGCGCCTTAGACGACTGGGCCACCCGTGCCCCCAACCTTGCCAAAGCCACAGGGAACCTATTTATAGTGATACAGCCAATATATGGTTCAACGCCCAAAATGGGTTGAAATAGACAGTACGAGAACGTTTTAGAGCCAAGAGAGACGGAGGCCTGCCAACCCGTTGATACATACAGTAAACTACGATTATAACGAACTCAAAGGGACCACTAATTTTAGTTCGTTGTAGCCGTGGTTCGTTATATGCATATATAGAGCACAACTACAGCAAATGGTCGGGACAAAAACGTAAGTTCGTTATATCCGTCAGTTCGTTATAAGCGTGTTCGTTATAACCGTAGTTCACTGTATACTGTGAATCCGGCCATAATCTTCGAAACCAAAGAATCTATACTGCCAATAGACTCATCTTCCCAGACAAAACCAAATCCCATTTTATACATTAATAAATTCAACTTTAAAACCCAATTAATTTTTCCATGGTTTGTATCCAATAGTAGTAGATTAAAACATTTTGGGGACAACGAGAGGTTAGCTAGACTAACATTTAGTCTCTGAAATCTTATATTACACAATATCCTTCTTGACTCTAAAAATAAAAATAGTTCCCTATGCTGATGTGGAATAGAGCTAGCTTGAGCTGGCTAGACTTGCTTTTGTATGCATTTCTAGATTATTATTTTTTCATAAAATAAAAATATTCCACGGCCATAGTGCAGGACTAGAGGTTAGCATACACAACAACTTATACCAGTTTTTAATACAGCGTTTATAACCATATATGCATATGGGATACCTTCCACATTCACCACGGACAATGTGGTTGGGTGTGTAAGGTAGTGAGTCACTTAGTCAGCTGCTTCTAACAGTATTTAGTTATATGAGGACATATCAGCTTGACGAGGGTTCAAAGCATAATGCGATAAAGGGAAATCAGGTCAACACAAAAAACGGTAAACGATACTGACACGTGACTTGGTTTCATCATCCGTGTTTGAACCTCTCAGGATTTAGTAGCTGGAGGTCAGCTAGATGAACTAGGGACCCTGTAGGATACGTGTAAGTATACACATGTATGTTGACATCACATGCCGCAATTTACCTATGTTATGATTACGTTTTCTTATCAAGTCTTCGAAAGGAATTTAGAAGTGATACACATAAGGAAGAGAATTTATCTATGTCAACTTCCTTATTATGAGGAACGCAACGTTTCGGGGTATATGCTTACTCCTTCATCAGGTGAAGGAGTAAGTATATACTCCGAAATCTTGTGTTCCTCACAATAAAGAAGTTGACATAGATAAATTCTCTTCCTTATGTAGGGGCGGTCGGCTAGCCTAGTGGTTAAAGCGTCCGCTCGTCACGCCGAAGACCCGGGTTCGATTCCCGACATGGGTACAATATGTGAAGCCCATTTCTGGTGTCCCCCGCCGTGATATTGCTGGAATATTGCAAAAAGCGGCGTAAAACCATACTCACTCACTCGTCATCATCACAATGTAAAACGGATTTCGTTTACTCACATGATGTACCAAAGGCGTTTGACACATATCGTAAAACCACACTCACTCACTCTTCCTTATGTTTTGTTATATTATGATTGAGCAGATGACTTAACCATCAGTGCTGGGTAGTTGTTATTTCGTGACATTTCATAGTTTTAATCAATTTAGTTGTTTTTTGTTTGTTGTTTGCCAAGTGATCATCAACGTCCACCCAAACGAGTTCAACTTGCCTTTCACTACGAACAAATGAATGTACGTGACCCTGACCGATACGGGACTGGCTGTGTAGAGAAGCCTTTCGAATTGAACACCACTGAAATAAGAGATGACACATTTTTTGAGAATACAAACTTTTTAATTCAGATAACGGGTATGCGTACAATCAGGGATAGAAACGTTCAATAAAACCTGTCCTAGCTTTGGGGGAAAGGCGACTGTGCTTATCGTTAGAGGCGACTAACGGGATCGGATGGTCAGGCTCGCTGACTTGGTTGATGCATGTCATCGTATCCCAATTGCATGGACCGATGCTCAAGATGTCAATCACTGGATTGTCTGGTCCAGGCTCGATTATTTATGTTGTGTTACGTTGACACTAAGACAAGGGTTCGTTTGAGGACGATTTATTGACCGGAGTTACATGCGACAGGCACCATGGCGTCCACTCGAGTCCCCAACACAAATCATGACGTCAGCTCATGACGTAATACGCAAACATCGGGAAGCTAACTCTAACTAACCTAGACTGGGATTTTACCCTGAACAGCAATAACGCTACAATTTACAAACCGCCGTCATATAGCTGGAATATTGCTTATAGCGGCGTTAAACAATAAACAAAACGAAACGAAAAACAAAATACTTTGGGGGAATTAATGTAATGAGGATATGCCACAGCTATAGGAAACAATGATCATGATAGCGACTTTGAATACGTTATTTTGTTTCGGTAATATCAGTAGTAATCGTTTCCCCAACCTAAAATAACATCCTAAGAAAAATCATTTAAACAATTTAAACTTATAGTGTTGTGTTACAGTTGTCTTACTAAATGGTAATCTATTTCATAACTAATATCGACTCATTTATCTCATCAAACAGAAACAATCTCTCTCGGAATCAATGTTTCACTCTACAATGCACACAGTCAGATGTTCAAATAACTTGGCTCTGCTAAAAACATCATCTGAGTGATAGTGAGTTGGGTTTAACGCCGAAGTTATATCATGGCGTGTCAGCTTTTTGTCGGAGGAAAGCCCGAAGTGATGCAGGTCTCAGACGTTTACCACTTCGGTGAAACCCACAAACACGGGTATGGTGCTGACAAACCTAGAAGCATAATCGGGGCGATCCTAGGTTTGGGACTTGCCGAAATGCCGGAACTCTGCATAGCGAATTGCGGCGCTTTAGACGTGGAGCGTAATGCAGTGATACATGTTGAACATTTTATACAGAACAAGCAAATTAACATGTGGCATACGATCACAGGAAGTATTTCTGTCTCTATGCAGGTACGGGGGTCTAAAAGGTTACTCATGGGGACACAGTTGTTTGAGGAAGTAAATAAATATTTCCTCCAAGTAATTTGCACCAACACTGTAGTGAAGTTTATTCACGCTGTGACTGGTGGCAGCGATAGATAAGAGAGCTCGGCGAATGGGATATCGCGGTGAGGACATGGAATACCACCAGCTTTTTTACTAGCTCGTATCACCTTCGTTACCCTCCCAGTGTCATGTCTGCCACCAGTGTACAACAATCGTGAACATTTTCCCGCTAACCCTAAATGTAGTGACATGTCTATTTGTGTGCATGTCTTAGGGAATGCCACTAGAATGAATTGACAAAAGGTTTATGACTAAATTACTATTTCGAAGATAAATATATGCTTGTCTGTAGTTTGTTTTATTAGATTGCATCGAGACTAAAGACAAACGAAAAAGGACCCCACTTCGATCTTCCGTTCTCCCTTATCTGTGTATGTGTGTGTGTGTGTGTGTGTGTGTGTGTGTGTGTGTGTGTGTGTGTCCCACACTCAAACCTCCAAATACTGCATCATCCCTCTTCCAAACTTCCAAATATGGACACATGTTTTAAATACCGCCTCATCCCAACACAGTCTTAGACTGCTGAACCATCCCATCACACTGCCTTCAAATACTGCATCATCCATACACACAACCCATCAAATCTTGCCTTATTCCATACACCACAACATATTGTCTCATTCCTCCACACATCCTCCACATCCTTCCCTATCCCTTCACACATTCACAAAATATCGCCTCATCCCCCCACACAACCAATTAATACTACCCCACACCTTCACACACCGCCATATATTGCTTCATCCAGCCACACAACCTCTAAATACCACCCATGTCTTCACACACTCACCAAATATTGCTTCATCCTTCCACACATACTCTAAATACTACCCTATGTCTTCACAAACTCACCAAATATTGCTTCATCCTTCCACACATCCTCTAAATACCACCCATGTCTTCACACACTCACCAAACATTGCTTCATCCTTCCACACATCCTCTTAATACCACCCATGTCTTCACACACTCACCAAACATTGCTTCATCCTTCCACACATACTCTAAATACTACCCTAAGTCTTCACAAACTCAACAAACATTGCTTCATCCTTCCACACATCCTCTTAATACCACCCATGTCTTCACACACTCACCAAATATTGCTCCATCCTTCCACACATCCTCTAAATACCACCCATGTCTACACACACTCACCAAACATTGCTTCATTCTTCCACACATACTCTAAATACTACCCTATGTCTTCACACACTCACCAAATATTGCTTCATCCTTCCACACATACTCTAAATATCACCCTATGTCTTCACACACTCACCAAACATTGCTTCATCCTTCCACACATCCTCTAAATACCACCCATGTCTTCACAAACTCACCAAACATTGCTTCATCCTTCCACACATACTCTAAATACCACCCATGTCTTCACAAACTCACCAAACATTGCTTCATGCTTCCACACATCCTCTAAATACTACCCTATGTCTTCACACACTCACCAAATATTGCTTCATCATTCCACACATACTCTTAATACCACCCATGTCTTCGCACACTCACCAAACATTGTTTCATCCTTCCACACATACTCTAAACACTATCCTATGTCTTCACACACTCACCAAATATTGCTTCATCCTTCCACACATACTCCAAATACCACCCATGTCTTCACACACTCACCAAACATTGCTTCATCCTTCCACACATCCTCTAAATACCACCCTATGTCTTCACACACTCACCAAATATTGCTTCATCCTTCCACACATACTCCAAATACCACCCATGTCTTCGCACACTCACCAAACATTGCTTCATCCTTCCACACATACTCTAAACACTACCCTATGTCTTCACACACTCACCAAATATTGCTTCATCCTTCCACACATACTCCAAATACCACCCATGTCTTCACAAACTCACCAAACATTGCTTCATCCTTCCACACATCCTCTAAATACTACCCTATGTCTTCACACACTCACCAAACATTGCTTCATCCTCCACACATACTCTAAATACCACCCTATGTCTTCACACACTCACCAAATATTGCTTCATCCTTCAACACATACTCTAAATACCACCCTATGTCTTCACACACTCACCAAATATTGCTTCATCCTTCCACACATACTCTTAATACCACCCATGTCTTCGCACACTCACCAAACATTGCTTCATCCTTCAACACATACTCTAAATACCAACCTATGTCTTCACACACTCACCAAACATTGCTTCATCCTTCCACACATACTCTAAATACTACCCTATGTCTTCACACACTCACCAAACATTGCTTCATCCTTCCACACATCCTCTAAATACCACCCATGTCTTCACACACTCACCAAACATTGCTTCATCCTTCCACACATACTCTAAATACCACCCATGTCTTCACACACTCACCAAACATTGCTTCATCCTTCCACACATACTCTAAATACCACCCATGTCTTCGCACACTCACCAAACATTGCTTCATCCTTCCACACATACTCTAAATACTACCCTATGTCTTCACACACTCACCAAACCTTGCTTCATCCTTCCACACATCCTCTAAATACTACCCTATGTCTTCACACACTCACCAAACATTGCTTCATCCTTCCACACATCCTCTAAATACTACCCATGTCTTCACACACTCACCAAATATTGCTTCATCCTTCCACACATACTCTAAATACTTCCCCTTAAGCTTGCCATCACACACTTACCAAATAGTGCTCCATCCCTCCACACAACCTCTAAATACTTCCTATGCCTTCACGCAATCTCGAGATACTGTCTCATTCCTCCGCACAACCCCCAAATGCTGCAAACACATTTCTGCCCGTATTTCCTCCATAACTCAGCACATAACACATTATGCTGTAAGTATCCCACAAGGAAAACAACACTTTCAGTACTTGGTATTTAGCATCATTTCATCAAATGCGTGGATGCATTTACTTTCCACATATTATTTGATCGGGGGCTGATCTCTGTATAATATTTTGCATCTGAAATTACCCCACGAACTACTGAAAATTCTGAGGATCGATTCGGCTAACTCATGAACACTAAGAATGGACGTCACGCATGTCACAAATCTGTGAAATCGAATAGCGAAGAGGGAACTCGAAAAGGAAAATTTAATAATGTGACCACTACATTAGTCATAGCCCAATTTCGTCATACATTCACTCACTCACTCTCATTAGTAGACATCGTTTCGCCTCGTTGTCTCGTCAACGGTTTAGCTTTTGGCTTTTCTTCCACATTTTGCCGAATTGATGTTTGAAGCAGTGTTAAACCCATCTCACTCACTCACTTTATACATTTTTTTCAGAACATTAATAACAAAGATTGTGGCCACTACAAGAAAGACAAAATGGAGATTTTAAAACAGCTCCAGAGTGTGGCCGTCGTTGCAGCGTTGATATGGGTGTCAGCATCGTCAACGTTGCGGCCGTTAAGGAATTCGAAGAGACTGGAATGTCACCTTGGATGTCACTGTCGTCGGTCAGAGATTAAGTTTCGACATAGATATGAACATATTGTTGAAATGCGCTGCACACACTTGAACTTAACAGAGGACCATTTACCATTACCTCCGAAACAGTCAAGAAAATTGTCTACAAGTTTATATTTGGAGAATGGCACAATTCCCTATCTCTCAAACACTTCTCTGTCAGTGTATTCTCCATACAGGATCGTCATTCTCAGTCTGAAAAAAAACGCCATTGAAAACGTAGCCAAGGACGCCTTTGGTCATTTGATGCATTTGAAAACACTTGACCTCTCAGAAAACATCATTCAAGAGGGGATTCTAAAGGAAGCTTTCTATGGAATCGCCTTGACGCCACTCAAAACATTGAATATAAGTTCAATGAACCTTCAAAATGTTTCTGATGACTTTTTTAAGCATTTGAAACGTATTGGCAATTTCAAGCTTATATTTCTGGACAATACACATATGTTCCCAATGACAGCACTCATGAGACTGAATCACATGACCTCACTTGACTTTGGGGGAAATAATTTAACACTCATACATCTATACAATGCCAGTTTTACCTCTTTAAGATATCTGAATCTTGACAATAATCACTTTCGAGATTGTCCCGATTTCTGTTTCAAAGAAAGCAACAGTTCGAGGTTCCCTAACCTTGAAATCCTCAAAATTCAGTGGAATGAGATGAGACAAATAAACCGGTTGCATTACAACTGTCTTACTAGTCTCACGCGTTTCTACCTAAACGGTAATCTTTTCCAAGAACTAAGATCCAATCAGTTTTCGATGCTTCCCAATATTTTCAAGATCACCCTGTCCTATGTTGGATGTGCGATGCACAATATAGAACGAGCAGTGTTCAATAATTCGGCATTAAAACAAATATATTTTCGCAATAATCATATTTGGTTTATAAATGGGGGCATTAACTTACGTGTATTTGAAGGATGTTCTTCGTTAGAGTTATTAAATCTTAATTACAATATTTTCCATAGCACAAAAGAAGATGAGTTCAATACTTTGCTTGGGCATCTTACTCAACTCAGGATTTTGATCATGGGAGGTAACAACCTACGCTTTATACCACGAGTTATAACTGAAAGATTAACCAACATTGAGAGTCTTGCACTATATTCGAATGGTATTACAGATTTGACACCGTTAAAAAATATGACAAATTTGAAAAAGTTGTTCATGGGAAGTAATCAAATAACAACTTTAGATGAGTCATCTTTCCAACCCTTCAGAAGGAATTTAACTACAATTATTCTCTATGATAATCCCTTTTCCTGTACATGCGACATACTTTGGTTCATTGAATGGATGCGCAAAGAGACCAACATATTCGGTTATAAAACAGATCCAAATTTCACGTCTTCATACAAGTGTTTTAGCCCAGGGAACAAGATAGGACATCGCTTGCTGGATTTGGAAATGTCGGAAATCACTTGTTTATTGGATATGGATGTCAAGATTACAACTCTTACCTTAAGTATTTTGCTCATAGTGTTCGTGGTAGTCGGGACAGTGATGTATCGTTACCGTTGGCACATCCGATACTTCATCTACATGGTCAGATACAGTCAACGTCAGGAAGTGGACACCCACGAATACGAATATGACGCATTTGTAGCTTATTCTGCACCAGATCGCCCCTGGGTCATTAAGACTCTACTTCCAATTCTTGAGGGCCAAGAAGACCTTAATATCTGCCTTCATGACAGAGATTTTCAAGTCGGAAAATTAATTGTCGATAATATTGTTGATTCAATTCAAGGAAGTCGGAAAATTATTATCGTCCTCTCCAATGAGTTTGCCCAGAGTGGATGGTGCCAGTTTGAATTGAATCTCATCCAGCGTCACGTGCTGGAGAATGGACAGCGCCTCCTGGTGGTGGTGATGCTGGAGGAGATAGACACACGCCACGTGACCAAAGCTATGAGAGCCATGTTGCAGACGACAACCTACCTGATGTGGGGCGAGGAAGAATATGCCAGAAAAGCCTTCTTCAACAGACTGAGGATGTTACTTCGTAGAGTAACCAAACATGGACGGGAACGGAGATTGTCAATCTAGTCTGGTACATTCTGAACATAATGATCAATCAACCAGTCCTGTCTACATATGTGCGTAAACCGTTATGATGATACTGCTGCCGAGTGCTGCGAGTCGTAAAATATACTTTAAGTAATAGTTCATTAAGCACCTATTGATTAACCAATGTTTATTCGGAGAACCATTCTTGGCAGAAATGTGTCATCGACGACTGAAGCTGTGATTTGCATATTTACCAAAACTGTGACGTACACTCACCTATCCAGTGCCGAGATAGTGAAACTCCGCGGTACACTGACAACACAAGAGTTCTTCAGCAGTAACCCTGACATTAAAAACCGTAAATGCAGATGGTCTTGATGTCCTACATGAATTCATGGATGTGGTATTATCTATTTTGAACAGTTTGGGGACCATGCAGGTGATATCAGTGGAGGAGGGGGTAGGGGGATTATCAATTTTGCTTTATAAAGTCAAATGAATTGTATTTTGAATTTTGTTGTTTTTTGTTCTATAAACATCATTATCATGATTATATTTCGGAGATTTTTTTGTAAATTAAAGGATGTGACTTGTAGTTTGATTCACTTATTAAGCAGTTTACTCTAACTCTTATTCGGAACCTGAACATGGTGAGTGAGTGAGTGAGTGAGTGAGTGAGTGAGTGAGTGAGTGAGTGAGTGAGTGAGTTTGTCAGTACAAGTACAATACACACCTTATGAACAACATAGCCAGCGGAACAAGCCAAGTTCAGTGGGTGAGTCAGTGAGTGAGTCAGTCAGTCAGTGAGTCAGTGAGTCAGTGAGTTTGTCAGTACAAGTACAATGCACACCTTATGAACAACATAGCCAGCGGAACAAGCCAAGTTCAGTGGGTGAGTCAGTGAGTGAGTCAGTCAGTCAGTGAGTCAGTCAGTGAGTGAGTGAGTGAGTCAGTCAGTCAGTCAGTCAGTCAGTGAGTTTGTCAGTACAAGTACAATGCACACCTTATGAACAACATAGCCAGGGGAACAAGCCAAGTTCAGTGGGTGAGTCAGTGAGTGAGTCAGTGAGTGAGTGAGTGAGTGAGTGAGTGAGTCAGTCAGTCAGTCAGTCAGTCAGTCAGTCAGTCAGTCAGTCAGTCAGTCAGTCAGTCAGTCAGTCAGTCAGTCAGTCAGTCAGTCAGTCAGTCAGTCAGTCAGTCAGTCAGTCAGTCAGTCAGTCAGTCAGTCAGTTTGTCAGTACAAGTACAATGCACACCTTATGAACAACATAGCCAGGGGAACAAGCCAAGTTCAGTGGGTGAGTCAGTGAGTGAGTCAGTCAGTCAGTGAGTCAGTCAGTGAGTGAGTCAGTCAGTCAGTCAGTCAGTCAGTGAGTTTGTCAGTACAAGTACAATGCACACCTTATGAACAACATAGCCAGGGAACAAGCCAAGTTCAGTGGGTGAGTCAGTGAGTCAGTCAGTCAGTCAGTCAGTCAGTCAGTCAGTCAGTCAGTCAGTGAGTTTGTCAGTACAAGTACAATGCACACCTTATGAACAACATAGCCAGCGGAACAAGCCAAGTTCAGTGGGTGAGTCAGTGAGTGCGTCAGTCAGTCAGTGAGTCAGTCAGTGAGTGAGTGAGTCAGTCAGTCAGTCAGTCAGTGAGTTTGTCAGTACAAGTACGATGCACACCTTATGAACAACATAGCCAGGGGAACAAGCCAAGTTCAGTGGGTGAGTCAGTGAGTGAGTCAGTCAGTCAGTGAGTCAGTCAATCAGTGAGTGAGTGAGTGAGTCAGTCAGTCAGTCAGTCAGTCAGTCAGTCAGTCAGTCAGTCAGTCAGTCAGTCAGTTTGTCAGTACAAGTACAATGCACACCTTATGAACAACATAGCCAGGGGAACAAGCCAAGTTCAGTGGGTGAGTCAGTGAGTGAGTGAGTGAGTGAGTGAGTGAGTGAGTGAGTGAGTCAGTCAGTCAGTCAGTGAGTCAGTGAGTCAGTCAGTCAGTCAGTCAGTCAGTCAGTCAGTCAGTCAGTCAGTCAGTCAGTTTGTCAGTACAAGTACAATGCACACCTTATGAACAACATAGCCAGGGGAACAAGCCAAGTTCAGTGGGTGAGTCAGTGAGTGAGTGAGCTGGTTTAAACAATATTGGAGTTTTGTGGCGACATATCAGCTTGATAAGGAAGGAAAGGCCAATGCGATTTAGGGGAAAACCACGGGTATGATGCCTCCAACCAAGAATCATATTTGGGACGAGACCGGGATTCGAACCCACGAGAATTGGATTCTAACACGAATAAGGAATCAAATGACGATTTATGATTAAACATGATTGATCAATTGATATCGAGTCCACACAATTACCCAGCCTAATAAACTGACACGTGATGTTTCATTTTCCGTGTTGAACACTATCAGCAGTTAGTAGCAGGAGGTCCGCTGGATGAACCGTCGATCGCAGGGGATATTTGTAAGTACATTTAACTTCTAAATGTTTCTGAAAGTATGTCGACATCACATGATTTAATTCAATGGTGTTATAGGGGCGTTGGGGTAGCCTAGTGGTTAAAGCGTTCGCTCGTCACGCCGAAGACCCGGGTTCGTTTCCCGATGTTGGTACAATGTGTGAAGCCCATTTCTGGTGTCCCCCGCCGTGATATTGCTGGAATATTGCTAAAAGCGGCGTTAAGCCATACTCACTCACTCAATGGTGTTATGATTTCGTTACGTTATGACTGAGCAGATGAGTTAACCGTCAGTGGTTATTAGTTGTTATTTCATTGCTTTTATCGTTGGTTGTTTTTTGGGGTTTTTTTACCCCGTGATCAACAATATCACGGCTACGTCACGACAACCTGTGAATACATTGAATCTGGGCCAGAAAAACCAGCTGCTGATATTTCTAGACCGATGACACAATCAAGTTAAGTTACCTCTCACTACAAATAAATGAGTGCTGGTGATTGAACAGATTAGTTATGTCATGACATTTCATTGTTTCGATCGTTGGTTGGTTTTATTTTATGTTTTACGACGTGATCAACGACATCACGGCTGCATCACGGCGGCCTGTGAATAAAAGTCTGGCTGATATTTTCAGCCATTCCAGTTTAAGTCGCTTCTCACTGCAAACACAAGTGTAGGTGACCCCGACCGACACGGGACGGGAGTCTTGGGGAGAAGCCTTTCAAACTGAATATTGCTGAATATTACCTGATACAGGGTTCGAGAATATAAACGACATGTTGATGTAGTTACCCGATATGTGTACCATCAGTGATAGAAACGTTCAGTAGACCTCTCTTGACTTTGAGTGAGTGAGTGAGTGAGTATGGTTTTACGCCGCTTTTACCAATATTCCAGCAAAATCACGGCGGGGGACACCAGACATGGGCTTCACACATTGTACCCATATGGGAATCGAACCCGGGTCTTCGGCGTGACGAGCGAACGCTTTAAACTCTAGGCTACCCAACCGTCCCCTCTTGACTTTGGAGGAAATAATTAAAGAGGATTTACCTCAGTTATACAAAGTAATGATAATTCATGGTTTTGTTTCCGAAATATTAGTAGTAATATTTTCCTTAACCTAAATAAGTCTTTATAATATTTTTAAACAATAATTAGTGTTCCAGTTGTCTCACAAAACTTATATTTTAAATGGTAAAATTTATATATCAAATTAGGTTTGTACCATCAAACATACTCGGAATCAATGTTATATTGGGTGCGAAATGCACACAATTGCACACAATTGAGAGAGCAATGTCAAGTAACTCAACTCTGAAAAAAACAACTTTGGTCAAAATGATTCAGAACATTTGGTGCGTACGTGAGAATATGTGCAGATAATGTTTCCCATGTCCGCACAGAAACTGAGTCATCGAATTAAACACCGTTAGGAGTGCATTGCTCACCAATCTCAATAATTCAGTTATGGTTGTGGTGGTGGGTAAAGGATTTATTTTGACATAGTAAGCTTTAACGAGGAAGTTAACATGTATGACAAGGATTGAATAAAAGCTTCTTGGGTTTAGAGAAATGGTAACTGTTTGGTCTCTTTCGTAAAACTTCCGTGTTTGAGTGAGTAAGTTGGGTTGTAGGTCGCTCTGAAAAGTATTCCAGTTATATCACGGCATGTCAGCGTGATGTGGGCTTATTGCCCAAAGTCATGCACGTCTAATACGATATCACTCTAGTGAAACCCAAATGCACGGGTAGGGAGCCATATGAAGCTCACACGCCACGATATAACTACAAAAATGTTGGGAAAATGCGGCTTTGAACCGAACACAGTAACTCACTATCGATGTCTGCACAGCAACAGGAAAACATTAAATCAGTATTATATATTAACATTTGACTCGCCCATGCATTTCTATGCACATGATACTGAGTGTAGTGTTATGCAGTTCAGTGATAACTGCATAATAGCATAAAACAAAGACTTTACAGACATTGTTCAAAGGGACAAAGAAATAAACATTTGGCATAAACCATCAGGAAGTATTTCTTTATCAATTCTGGTACAAGGGTTAAAGTTAACTCCTGGGGAGTCAGTTGTTTGAGGAAGTAAATAAACACTTCCTCCAAGGTATATCGCCTCCGTGGTCTAGTGGAGAGCGTCCGCCCGGAGAGCGGAAGGTCCGAGGTTCGATCCCCGGTCGCGTCATACCAAAAGACGTTAAAAGATGGTACTTGTTGTTACCCTGTCTGGCGGTCGGCATTAAGGGGCTAAAACAAGGACTGGTCGGCTCGGAGTCAGAATACTGTGTCTGAGTGGGGTATTCATGTTAAACTGCGGCATGGTATCTCAGTGAGCTAGTACTATAAATCTGTCCGGTCTAGTACAAGCTATATAAGTGCAATAATCACTTACTGGTTTGTCTGGCCCGATTATTTACAGGCCGTGATATGAGTAAACTACGGTTATAACGAACACGCTTATAACGAACTGACGGATATAACGAACTTACTTTTTTGGTCCCGACTTTTTGCTGTAGTCATGCTGTATATATGCTTATAACGAACTACGGTTATAACGAACTAAAATTAGTAGTCCCTTTGAGTTCGTTATAACCGTAATTTACTGTAGCAGAATCAACTTCCCACACATGTATATGTACTACTTGCTTTATTCATTTAAACAGAGGAACCCCGTTTATCCACTGTTTATGAAACACGTTTGTATTACTGAATTTGACTGGAGTTATCTACCTTGCATATAATTAAATGTCCAACTCGTGACGCCTTCGTTACCGTCCGCGGTATCATCGCTGCCACAAGAATCTTGATTTCTTCCAATCTAAGCTTAAATGTTTTGACACTTATTTTTGTGTTTATGTCTGTGGGAATCTCACTATAGTCTATTGTGGAAACTTACTATTTCAATGGGGGGCACGGGTGGCCCAGTCGTCTAAGGCGCATCGATTCGCTGTGCAGAGTTGCGTCCCTTGGGCACGACAGAAACCTATGATTGTGGGTTCGAATCCCGGTTCGCCCCGATTATGTTTCTAGGTTTGTCAGCACCACACCCGTGCTCGTGGGTTTCACCGAAGCGGTAAACGTCTGAGACCTGCATCACTTCGGGCTTTCCTCACACATTAAGCTGATACGCTGTGATATAACTGGAATACTGTTTAAGGCGGCGTTAAACCCAACTCACTCACTCACTACTATTTCAATGATGATTTTACCTTAGTTTGTTTAATCAGATTGGTTCGAGAAATAGACAAACTAACAATTTGACTTGAGGAAGAATATTCGGCGTCACGCCAGTCATCACGTCTTTGTAAACATAACGGTCAGCCGGTTTCGAGTTCAACTCCATGCAACCTTGAACAATTGGAAGCATTGCCTCAGGGATTTCCTTCCACTTTATGCTGACTTGACGTTTAATGCTGGGTTAAACTCAACTGACTCACTTTATGCATTTTTTTCAGAATATCAATCAGGGAACAACAAGAAAGACAAAATGAAGACGTTAAAACAGCTCCAGATTGCAGCCGTCGTTGTAGTGTTGATGTGGATGCGAGCAACGTCAACGTTTTTGCCGTCAAGGAATCCGAAGAAACTAGACTGTGACTCTCGATGCATCTGTTATAAGACATGGATTAAGTTTCGACATAGTTATGAACAGATTGTTATGCGCTGCACACACTTGAACTTGACAGAGGACCTTTTACCCTTACCTCCAAAACTGTCCAGTAATATGTCTACAAGGCTGTATTTGGAGAATGGCACAATTCCCTATCTCTCAAACACTTCTCTGTCAGTGTATTCTCCATACAGGATCGTCATTCTCAGTCTGAAAAATAACACCATTGAATACGTAGCCAAGGACACCTTTGGTAATTTGATGCATTTGAAAACACTTGACCTCTCAGAAAACATCATTCATGAGGGGATTCTAAAGGAAGCTTTCTATGGAATCGCCTTGACGCCACTCAAAACATTGAATATAAGTTCAATGAACCTTCAAAATGTTTCTGATGACTTTTTCAAGAATTTAAAACGTATTGTCAATTTCAATCTTATATTTCGCGACAATACACATATGTTCCCAATGACAGCACTCATGAGACTGAATCACATGATCTCACTTGACTTTGGGAGAAATAATTTAACACTTATACATCTATACAATGCCAGTTTTACCTCTTTAAGATATCTGAATCTTGATAACAATCACTTTTATGACTTTCCCGATTTCTGTTTCAAAGAAAGCAACAGTTCGAGGTTCCCTAACCTTGAAACCCTCAAAATTCAGTGGAATGAGATGAGATATATACACCGGTTTCATTACAACTGTCTTACTAGTCTCACGCGTTTCTACCTAAATGGTAATCTGTTCCAGGAACTAAGATCCAATCAGTTTTCGATGCTCCCAAACATTGTCAAGATCACCCTGTCCTATGTTGGATGTGCGATGTGCATTATTGAACGAGCAGTGTTCAATAATTCGGCATTAAAACAAATATATTTTCGCAATAATCATATTTGGTTTAGGAACGCTGGCATTACCTTACGTGTATTTGAAGGATGTTCTTCGTTAGAGTTATTAAATCTTAATTACAATATTGTCCAAATCACCAGAGAAGATGGATTCAATACATTGCTTGGACATCTTACTCAACTCAAGACTTTGATCATGGGAGGTAACAGCCTACGTTTTATACCACGAGTTATAACTGAAAGATTAACCAACATTGAGAGTCTTTCACTATATTCGAATGATATAAAAGATTTGACGCCGTTGAAAAATATGACAAATTTGAAAAAGTTGTTCATGGGAAGTAATCAAATAACAACTTTAGATGAGTCGTCTTTCCAACACTTCAGAAGGAATTTAATTACAATTAATCTCTCTAATAATCCCTTTTCCTGTACATGCAAAATACTTTGGTTCATTGAATGGATGCGCAAAGAGACCAACATATTTGGCTTTAAAACAAATCCAAATTTGACGTCTTTTTACATGTGTTCAAGACCAGGGGACCCGATACGACATCGCTTGCTGGATTTGGAAATGTCGGAAATCACTTGTTTATTGGGTATGGATGTCAAGATTACAACTCTTACCTTAAGTATTTTGCTCATTGTGTTCCTCGTGACAGGGGCAGTGATGTATCGTTACCGTTGGCACATCCGATACTTCATCTACATGGTCAGGTACAGTCAACGTCAGGAGGTGGACACACGCGAATACGAATATGACGCGTTTCTAGCTTATTCTGCACCAGATCGTCACTGGGTCATTAAGACTCTACTTCCAGTTCTTGAGGGCCAAGAAGACCTTAAACTCTGTGTTCACGATAGGGACTTTGAGGTTGGCAAATTAATCGTTGATAACATAGTTGATGCTATTGAAGGAAGCCGCAAAATCGTCATCGTTCTCTCCAATGAGTTTGCCCAGAGTGAATGGTGCCAGTTTGAACTGAATCTCATCCAACGTCACGTGCTGGAAAATGGACAGCGCCTCCTGGTGGTGGTGATGCTGGAGGAGATAGACACGCGCCACGTGACCAAAGCTATGAGAGCCATGTTGCAGACGACAACCTACCTGATGTGGGGCGAGGAAGAGTATGCCAGAAAAGCCTTCTTCAACAGACTGAGGATGTTACTTCGCAAAGCGACCAAACATGGAGGGGAACGGAGACTGTCAGTCTAGTCTGGTCTATTCTTAATATGCAATGATCAATCAACCAGTAATATCTACATATGTACGGAAACCACGTTGTTGCCCTTTTACTGGTCGCGGTACAACTGTCAAGTGCTGTGAGACTTTGAAATGAGTCATCGACCATTGAAGCAGTGATTTTCAAGAGTATAAAGAGGAATGTATGTGATGTACACACAGCTATCCAGTTCCGAGACAGTGAGATACCGATATCGATGTTGATTTATGATTAACAATGATTGATCAAGGGATCTGAGTCCGAAATAAAAGGACGGAACAACAGTCCTACGGCATCAGCAACAATATCCCTGACATTACAAATCTGTAAATCTTGAGATCTTGAGATGATAGCATTTGCCTGTCCTACATACGCTCGTGGATGTATCATAATATGTTTTAAACAGTTTTGTGACAGAGCAGTTGATGTTATGTTCTAAGCTTGTTAGTTTGCTGATTCAAACTATATGAACTTGAAACTGTATGAGAATCAACGAAATATCTTTAGCTTAGATTATATTTGTTCTTTTATTTTAGTCGAACCAGTAGATATCCTTATGGATGGAGCTTGAGCTTGGAGAGCGTCATACCTAAAGAGGTTGATATAAAATGTCAATGCAAGAGAATAACCAGTCTTGATTATGCACCGAAACATATTCCATTTGGTGTAAAGGTCTAAATATCTGTGAAATTATATGAATGGACCACTGAAAATCAGTGATGACACCAGGTGTTTGCGAAAAGGGTAAGTATGTCTTGCCCTACCGGTTGTCATTCACACAATTTGCATTAAAAGACGGTGATTGCTGCTTCCTTGCCTTGCCTTCGAGATTAAGGGAATAAACCACCGACTGGTCGGCTCGAAGTCAGTATACTGTGTCTGATTGAGGTATCCCCTTGGGCTAGCGGTCCCAAATCGCGTGGCAAACCGCGCACATGGAAACTCAGCCTAAAGGGCGGCGGCTTTTACATAAGACTGTATAGCTTGTTTGTCAATCCCCATTCATATATTTATGTATAAAAATCTGTTGAAACAAAATACATTGAAAAGCCTGGTATGTTTGCATTAAAATCAAGACAAAGAAATCTGTAATTAAAATGTGTGAGGTGTAAATGTGTAAGTCATATATTTCTAACTTAGATCACCGGTATGTAACCCAGGTAAAGCATGCATATCGGGGAACATTGCAATGTGGGTACAGTTTATCGTGTCTTCGTGCTTTAGCATTACACATTGGCTTTTCATATTCCTCAAGGTTTTAATGTTTATTTGTCATATATTTCTAACTTAGATCACCGGTATGTAACCCAGGTAAAGCATGCATATCGGGGAACATTGCAATGTTGGTACAGTTTATCGTGTCTTCGTGCTTTAGCATTACACATTGGCTTTTCATATTCCTCAAGGTTTTAATGTTTATTTGTTTATTTACTTCTTTTTTTTTCTCTCCTTTATTTTTTCTGGGTTATATATTTATCTAAATATACATTTAGTTACTTGTATGTGTGGGGGTGTTTAACAGAAACCTGGTTGCACCATGATATTCTAGCCACTGATACCATTTTCAAATCGTAGCCTGTATTAAGGAATATATTTTAGATCTTAAAACAGAGTAAAACGGACAGCCTGAGTTGGAGGCGCGCGTGGATATGTTGACAGTTTTTACGTAGTTAGTGTTAAAACCGAATGTTTGCGAGGATTAATAAGATTTCTGATTTCAGTTACATCAGTAACCGTACATGTATTTGTTACATTAAGTCATTTCATTCAAATTCGTTTGGTATGATATATGTCCTATGTTACCAAATAAAATAAGCTGAAATATCAATTCATTATGACCATATTTCATAATCTATTTCTTAAAGTAACCCTCCTTACATTAAAGATATCTATTTAAAGAATATAGTACTTAAAGACATTGCAACAAACCGAATAATCAGGGGGAAGACTTTATACTGAGGGGGGCGCGAAATATATCCGCCCGGGAGAGATTTTATACTCCGGGGGGAGAATTTGTACGGGGGAGAGTTTATACCGGGACACCGGCAGCGAAGTAAAATGGTAACAAATGGTCATCCAACATGATTGCACGCAAGAATATTTATAAGTCGGTCTCTTACTCAATATGCACAAGTGATACTTGGACTTCCATTGGAAGCCACTCTTCTGTTATGTGCCTCTCTTTCCTTCAGGTGCCACACTTCTGTTATGTGCCTCTCTTTCCTTCGGGTGCCTCTCTTCTGTTATGTGCCTCTCTTCCCTTCGGGTGCCACTCTTCTGTTATGTGCCTCTTTTTCCTTCAGGTGCCACTCTTCTGTTATGTGCCTCTCTTCCCTTCGGGTGCCACTCTTCTGTTATGTGCCTCTCTTCCCTTCGGGTGCCACTCTTCTGTTATGTGCCTCTTTTTCCTTCAGGTGCCACTCTTCTGTTATGTGCCTCTTTTTCCTTCAGGTGCCACTCTTCTGTTATGTGCCTCTCTTCCCTTCGGGTGCCACTCTTCTGTTATGTGCCTCTCTTTCCTTCGGGTGCCACTCTTCTGTTATGTGCCTCTCTTTCCTTCAGGTGCCACTCTTCTGTTATGTGCCTCTTTTTCCTTCAGGTGCCACTCTTCTGTTATGTGCCTCTTTTTCCTTCAGGTGCCACTCTTCTGTTATGTGCCTCTTTTTCCTTCAGGTGCCACTCTTCTGTTATGTGCCTCTTTTTCCTTCAGGTGCCACTCTTCTGTTATGTGCCTCTTTTTCCTTCAGGTGCCACTCTTCTGTTATGTGCCTCTCTTTCCTTCGGGTGCCACTCTTCTGTTATGTGCCTCTTTTTCCTTCAGGTGCCACTCTTCTGTTATGTGCCTCTCTTTCCTTCGGGTGCCACTCTTCTGTTATGTGCCTCTTTTTCCTTCAGGTGCCACTCTTCTGTTATGTGCCTCTCTTTCCTTCGGGTGCCACTCTTCTGTTATGTGCCTCTTTTTCCTTCAGGTGCCACTCTTCTGTCATGTGCCTCTCTTTCCTTCAGGTGCCACTCTTCTGTTATGTGCCTCTCTTTCCTTCAGGTGCCACTCTTCTGTCATGTGCCTCTCTTTCCTTCAGGTGCCACTCTTCTGTTATGTGCCTCTCTTTCCTTCAGGTGCCACTCTTCTGTCATGTGCCTCTCTTTCCTTCAGGTGCCACTCTTCTGTCATGTGCCTCTCTTTCCTTCAGGTGCCACTCTTCTGTTATGTGCCTCTCTTTCCTTCGGGTGCCACTCTTCTGTTATGTGCCTCTCTTTCCTTCAGGTGCCGCTCTTCTGTTATGTGCCTCTCTTCTATTACGTGCCACTCTTTCCTTCAGGTGTCTCTCCCTTAGCCATGTGTCTCACTATCAAGTGTCTTTCTCTCCTTCCAGTGTCTCTCCCTCTCACAGGTGTCACTCCGTCTCTCAGGGGTCACTCCCTCTCACAGGGGTCACTCCCTCTCTCAGGTGTCTCTCCCTCTCTCAGGTGTCTCTCCCTCTGTCAGGTGTCTCTCCCTCTGTCAGGTGTCACTCCCTCTCTCAGGTGTCTCTCCCTCTCACAGGTGTCTCTCCCTCGCTCAGGTGTCATTACCTCTGCCAGGTGTCACTCCTTCTCTGAGGTGTCACTCCTTCTGTCAGATGTTCGTCCTGGCGTTGACGTGATTAGTAATGACTTGGCATGGTCCAAGTTTTAAGCTGGTGATGTGTAAGCGTTGAGCCAAATCCTTCAACACTGAGCACTGAGTCTCTTCAGGAAAAATTCTAGGGATATTTGTTTAGTGTATTGTGACTCGTTCTACGATCATTCTCATTCTACTTTTGTGTGTACATTAATGAGATTGTATCTTACAGAGCATAATTACATTGGTTTACAATTGGATACGTCTTCATTTGATATTATCATTGATCCTTCACAAATATTGTTTGTACTTTCATATGTAGATGTTACTGCCCTACTCGCACTTTCAATAAAAGACTTCACAAATATTGTTTGTACTTTCATATGTAGATGTTACTGCCCTACTCGCATTTTCAATAAAAGACTTCACTTCATATGTAGATGTTACTGCCCTACTCGCACTTTCAATAAAAGACTTCACAAATATTGTTTGTACTTTCATATGTAGATGTTACTGCCCTACTCGCACTTTCAATAAAAGACTTCACAAATATTGTTTATACTTTCATATGTAGATGTTACTGCCCTACTCGCACTTTCAATAAAAGACTTCACAAATATTGTTTATACTTTCATATGTAGATGTTACTGCCCTACTCGCACTTTCAATAAAAGACTTCACAAATATTGTTTGAACTTTCATATGTAGATGTTACTGCCCTACTCGCACTTTCAATAAAAGACTTCACAAATATTGTTTGTACTTTCATATGTAGATGTTACTGCCCTACTCGCACTTTCAATAAAAGACTTCACAAATATTGTTTGTACTTTCATATGTAGATGTTGCTGCCCTACTCGCACTTTCAATAAAAGACTTCACAAATATTGTTTGAACTTTCATATGTAGATGTTACTGCCCTACTCGCACTTTCAATAAAAGACTTCACAAATATTGTTTGTACTTTCATATGTAGATGTTACTGCCCTACTCGCACTTTCAATAAAAGACAAAATTCTTTGATTGGTTTGACTTGTATTGCAAAAGATGGAAACTTATTATTAATTAATAATAAAACAAAAGTAATTATTCTGGGGTGTAATGCATCTGACAAAAAAAAGCATGTAAGTTTAAATGAAACTACTTCAGAATTCGCTGATGAGTATAAGCACCTTGCGAATTTTAATTAAGATAATCGATATACATTTTCTGGGAAACGTATTTCAAGATAAATTAAAGCTGCAAGCAGCAATGGCGGGCTCCAAGTTACACTGTGCACAAACGTCCATGTTCGAATCCTTAAAGGGTTTCCTTGTACCAAATCCGTCACATGTAGGCACAACTTGCAGGGTATTGCTGCTACGAAATTGGCGTGTGCTAAGTCTGTTTTAAACCCATTTCCGACATTAAACATGTTCGAATCCTCAAAGGGTTTGTTTGTACCAACTCTGTCAAAAGATAGTCAGCGTTTGCAGGACATTGGCGTGTTCCAGGGGTGTCCCAAATTCTAATCAAATATTACCACCAAGTGTTGTTACTTTTTCCATGCACCCAAGAACAGAAAATAAGATGCATATGATACACTAACTTCATGTAAACTTGCAATAGTTTCTGTCAACACGCTAACAAGATATGATCGTTAAAGTAAAATTTCGGTAATTTTTTTTATCAAAATCAAAATCCAATACAACCGCAACTAAAACAGATATCCCAAAACGGCTATGAGAGTTTGCTGTGTTGTGTGTGGAGACAATTCTCAGAAAATTTGGAAGCATTTTATGCAGTGGATTCAGAGGAGATAGTATTTGAAGACAGGTACCCAAAAGACACTGTGAAAACCTTGAATCCAATATGGCTGCCAAACCATGTGACCAATGACCAAAGTCAAAGAACAAAAAATGTCAAGCAGCTCAAGCAGCAGATACATGCAAGTTTTCAAAGTAATCGGATAAGCGGTTGCGGAGCAATAGGGCGAAATACATCTTCAAAAAAATTATTGTCTTTTAGTTATCTGCCCTTGGCCTTTGGGCCTACGGCCTTGGGTTTTTGGCGGGCACTAGTACCCAACGGTCTTCATACACATACAAAATTTGAACAAAATCAAGCCAGTGGTTTTTTTGCTAGCTCTGGTACAAAAATCGGCGGAATAATAATAATATTAAATCAAATGCTAACACTGGGACTCTTCAGCCTTTTGGCTTGGGGACTCTTTAACAGGCTGTAACTTCTTTGTCAGTTGGGCTCCAGTCAAACGGATTAGCGTTCTGCGTTCGTCCGGGCCCCGGGTTCCTGTCGCATTGCTGAGATAAAGTGCTAAACTTGTTTCCGACCTCGTTCATATTCGAATCCTCAAAGGGTTTACCTGTACCAACGCCGTCAAATGTAAGGAACCTCTTGTGAGACATCACCACTACTAAATTGACATGTGCTTGGGTGTCCCAGGATGTTTCAACCATTTTCCAACTTCGACCATGTTCGAATCCGCATATGGTTTGCTTGTACCAACGCAATCAAATGTAATAAACCGCTTGTGAGACATCACCACACGTGTCTCAGGGTGTTCTTAACCCATGTTTGACTTCGACCATGTTCGAATCCGCATATGGTTTGCTTGTACCAACGCCATCAAATGTAATGCACCGCTTGTGAGACATCACCACACGTATCCCAGTGTGTTCTAAACCCACGTTTGACTTCGACCATGTTCGAATCCCCAAATGGTTTGGTTGTACCAACGCCATCACATGTAATGAACCGATTGTGAGACATCACCACACGTGTCCCAGTGTGTTCTTAACCCATGTTTGACTTCGACCATGTTCGAATCCGCATATGGTTTGCTTGTACCAACGCCATCAAATGTAATGAACCGCTTGTGAGACATCACCACACGTGTCCCAGTGTGTTCTTAACCCATGTTTGACTTCGACCATGTTCGAATCCGCATATAGTTTGCTTGTACAAACTCTGTCAAAAGATAGTCACCGTTTGCAGGACATTACCGCTACCAAATTGGCGTGTGCCACAGTTTCCCAGAGTGTACTAAACAATTTCCGACCTCGACCATATTCTAATCCGCAAATGGTTTGCTTTAAACAACGCCGTCAAAAATAAGGTACCGTAGCAATTGGCAATTGAGAAATGAAGAATCAAGCCAGCGAGTCTGACCACCCAATCCGATTAGTCGCCTC